GACACTTTGAATATCAGAAGAGAACGAAGAAAGCTAACTTTACAAAATTAACTAACACCGTCATATCTTTATACATTACTTCCAGGTTTAGTATGCGAAAGAACTCCATATCCCCTTAGAAATAACAATAACTATACCATGAATAACTATATTCTTTCCAATACTAGATCATCATATATACCAGCAACAAAAAAAAAATGGAATAACTTATAAGAAACCACTAGAAATCAAACTACAGTTTGTAAATTCAAAACTGCCATAACTCCGGAACATCATAAGCTACCGTGTTTCTTTGATTACGGACACAGTCGCCTTAATATCTTATTAACTAAATTTAGACACAATTGTAGCCAACTGAATTATGATCTCTTTCGTGTAACCTTGTAGAATCTCCTTTTTGTGCCTGTGGCCACCCCTGTGAAAACTCATACCATTGTTTTTTGCTAATGTCCAATGTACAGGAAGAACATCAGACATGAAATGTTAAATAAATTGATACCCTATCATCCTGTCCACCTAGAGTTACTATTGCCTGGAAATGTTAAATTATCAAATGTTGACAATGAGCATGGCACTTTGATATGTTACCTAGAAGGAACAGGAATGACTCGAGGAAGGATTCTAAGGAATGTGTTTTATATGGACAAATGAACAGCTGATGTGAAAATAATGTGTAGCTAGTGCGTGCCATGCAGTAGTTTAAGTTTTAGTAGTTTCAACATATTTATACTTTGAATGAATCTTTTGTATCATTCGAAATATACTTAACTCATCTCTATGATCACTATCAGTGTGATATTATAGTTGATGAGAGGGCTTCTATACGTTGTTATAACTTGTGCCCAATCCATTTGATTATATCAATAAAATATGTTTAAATCAGAGGTTGCCTTCCATCTACGACAGATTTATTTTTTAATTGTTTTTCGCCTCCCCCTCCCTTCCCCGTGCTCTGTTCAAGGACATTTGATTACCCCATCCCTTCCCCACATACTGTATCCGATAACTCCAGTCTGGCTATCTGTGTGTATGCCCTCCCCTCCCCCTCTCGCTCTTGCTTATTATAGATTTTAAGGACACATACATGTACATATATATAACTAGTTGAAAAAGTAATTATTAAATAGTTATACTCGAACTTTTGGGATTAATAGACCCGTTGTCATATTTGGTTCACACTCAATTAAGCCCCACCGATACAGTTCGGTCGACTCTCCTATCTCACCTGCATCAGCACTAATCCCATTGTCAGCACTGTCAACTTAACGTCTTTATAAATACGTCATTTAGTCCCCTTCGACTCGCACATTGTCAGCACTATCCACCTAACGTCTTTATTTTTTTCTCTGGTTTCGACTCACACATTGTCAGCATTGTCAACTTAACGTGTTTTTTTTTTTAAATACAGTATCTATAGTATTTCACAAATTGTTACTATTTATAAAACACGTATGACTGAAATTTCATTTATATCTCAAGATCCGGGAAATATCCGGAAACATAGCTATCTACCTAATATGGTTCTTTGACACGATACTAATTATCAGATCTCAACTCTTAACAATTACTGCTTGGTGATTGACACTCTGGTTTATACAGAATCTTGTTGATAGGCTCGCTAGTGCATACGGGCGTGAGCAAAACAGGGGAATGTAGTTCTTCCATTACGATACCAAATGATTATTTATACGATTTTGACTCACCTGCCCGAAGGGTCAAGTGAGCTTACACCTTCATGTGAAACGAGATATACATATAAGGCCAAACGAAAACTATTTGGTGTTTCCGGTAACCCTACCTACCCTAAACTTTTTAAGGCAATTTTCAAAGAAGCACTGTAACAGTCAAAATCACTCTGCTATATTAACCTTATACAATGATTTGTTAAAATAAAATGTGTTATCTACCTACCTATCCTAAATATTTCCAATATGCTAAGTAGTAGGGAAGTACCGCTTTTGGGCCAGGGTCATTGAGTGCAGTCTCCTATATAATCCGCACCACCACCCCGCACCACCCTGCAGCACCACCCTAAACAGGGGTGGTACCGTTATGATGACGTCACAAGGGGGGGGGTGGGGGGTTCTTGTGTATTTGGGTTTTCCTGACTGCATCTATTTATAGCGACAACCTATATACGAGGGGGTACCGATCGATGATGTCATAGGGGGTTCTCATGTATTTTAGTTTTTCCTGACTGCATCTATTTGTAGCGGTCCGATTGCAGTTGTTGTTGTTGCTGCTGCTTCGTGACTCCATCTCCATAGTTGGTTGCTGATGCTGGGTACATCATATACCGGCTGCATATACCGGCTGCTTCATAATGTCTATGTAGGATGGTTGCTTCTGCTGCTGTAGTTGTCAAGTAGCTCATCCTGGCGCCGCCACCAGGATGAGCTACTTGACAACTACAGCAGCAGCAGCAATCAACCATGGAGATGGAGTCACAAAGCAGCAGCAACAACAACAACAACTGCAAACGGACCGCTACAAATAGATGCAGTCAGGAAAAATTAAAATACATGAGAACCCCCTATGACATTATAGTCATGAATACTGATATTTTGCCTGTAGCTTTTTATCGGCCCCCTGTGAGGTTACAAGTGTGAGATTGATACCAGGTGAGCGATATGGGTCCATTGGGCCTTTGTGTACAGCTTGTCTGAACGTCCTCATTATCGCTAATAAACACAAGACAGTGATTTCTACTATTTTTTTAAGTACGTTAATATAATAACATCTTATCCTCTTTGTAAATCTCCTTACACCGCCATCCAATCTATTAGGTCTACCTCCTGTTCAAATTAACGACATTTTGATGCATTTGTTTTTAAGAAATAAAAACTCGTTACTTTTTGTTTGATATTGCTTGCTTCCAAATAAAATACAAATCGATTTGAAAGTTTAAGACATTCGACAAAATATTATTTTGAGAAATGAATTGAAGGACACTTAATAAACTAAAATTTATAATCAGAAGTCGGCCTTATCCGTGTAAAATGTTGTCTCACGACGAGCTTGATATTTGTTAATTTTTAAGATTATTTTTTTCCAAACGAATAATTTCTCATTATGATTGAGATAAGCATATAAATGTACATTGTATAAACAATTTTCTAATTTGTATCTACAAATGATACATGCTTAATTTGTGTTTATTTGTCGTCAAGTTTTTTATTTACCAAATGCAATACAGCATAAAGGTTATACAGTTACATCACACATGGTTCATAATAAAGTACAATATACAAGATGGCGGAGGATAATTCATGGTTCCCATTTAACATATAGATTTTTACTGACCCACAAGGGATTTTCTTTTGGCAGTTGCATGCAATAAATATTGTAAAACCTAACTATCTGTTTTTCGATCACGGTCGTCTGTTTTTACATGAAATGATGAAGTGATAATGAGGGGAGTTAACTCAGATATATGATAATCGCAGCATTTTGAAAAGAATGTGTGTTAAGACGATGCCATATAAATATTGTTACTATTTACAAACATACAACCGCACAGGACATGCATGTATTACAGGCGTATGTGTAAACATTACATGATTACACTCGTTTATATAAACATCGCCGCTATATATATCAATATTACAGCATTATATTACATATATATGTATAACATCGAAGCCGTATACATAAACATTACAGCCGTTAATATAGCATCACAATGGTATATATAAATATTAACAGCGGAGCCGTATGTACGTGTGTACATAGCCATTTGTGCATATCCAGGTAAAAGGCGATTTACCTGTAACATGTAGGAGAGACAGCTTTATTGAATTGATATTGTAAGCTAGTATCTTGGTATTCGATAGACTCGTGGCGAATCAACGCGAATACAGATTTTGTTTGCCCGAACAACGCACTGAATACATCAATATGTAATGAAATTTCGGTAGCGTTATCTCCCTTGTAATTTTTATAGATATGCAGCTAGGATAACTTAAAGACAACCAAGTAACTATTATAACTTAATAGATAAGAAAGATATGTTTAATCATACCCTTACTCATTCCATTTTAGAGTATAGGTAACTAACTACAGTATGATTGTGTAAAATTAAAATTCCTGACTCGGTATTTTCATGTATATTATATTTTCATAATATATACTTAAAGACACAACATGCGTTTTTGAAATAATTAAATGAGTGACTACACATATGGTCCTAACCATGTATACATGTAACCCATGAAATAAAATTAAACTTAATTTATTTGACAACAGAATAAACCGTAAATTTATTTTATGGGATGAAACTGAAGTACCCGGAAAAAAACACGTTGTCGGGCAGGCATACTCTTACCTTCTCACATTTGATCGGAAATTCGAACCCCGACAGGCTAGTGTGCTATCCGATCACTAATTCTTAACTAATTCATTAACTATTTTAATGTACCAGTTTCTTACTTTCAAAATCTTTCGCGAGAGGAGATAGATATCATCTCGTCACAACCATCTCTAATTTTTCATATTGAATTTTTTATTCATTTTAAGGATTCCTTTGCCACTACACTGTAGTTTTTCATATACATGTATAGAGTAACCTCCCCTTAACTTCCGTTTGGATATAAACGTAATACAGTTGGGGCAAGACACTTCCGTTGACAAGGTAGCGCAAACGGTTATATCGATAGTTTACCAATATGAAGCTCGGAGGTTCGAAGCATGGTCCCCACTGACGTGTTTACACTAAAAACACTATTGTTGGTCATATTTTTGTTTATTTTTAAGTTAATGTTCAGTGAATATATTTTGTAATCGACCAAACAAAGGTAGCCAATACTAAAATAAATAACTGTTTAGATATTGCAGAGAGATAGTACCCTGATCTGTGGAAAGATCATGTCGCTTGTCAATGAAGTGTTTGGTATCGAAGCATATATTCACGATTAAAATTAAATTGAAAATCAGTTTAAGGGCTGAAACATTGTTTGAGAAATATTAAATGTTGATGTTTGATCTGAATAAAAAAAAAACAGGTGAATGGAGAAAGACGACCGAACACCGTTTCTATGGAGCTGGGTCAGGAAAAGCTTCAAGATCCGGACACAATACAGATATTGGATCCACCCGAAGTGCTTTCCCACGGAATGTGGCTTATCGTGGAATACCGCTGTTCACGAGACAGAATAATCGGACTGGAAGTAACTGGAAGTATTGAAAAACTAAAACCAGGACAAAATGCGGAAAGGAAATTGTTTAGAAAAGCGTGGAAGTGTAATCATGAAAATAGAAATATAAAAAGAAAACGAGTGAAATTAAAACTTCCGGATAGTGTGGCGTTCAGACAGGATTTATTCAATTCACGGATAACTTTTGTGAATTCGCCGAAATTAAAAGCATGGAATTTGGACCCAATATGGTGGCCAAGTTGCCGGAAGTACCACAATGCATTCTGGAGAGCTACGGTGAAAGTTTCATATGATATGCAGTTGCCCTCTCCTCATGCCCGGCTATCCAAAGGCGGATTCAACTCCTGCCCGAAATGGCCTTTGCACATTCTAGCAGAGGTTCAAGTGAAAAAGATAGAGATCTGCCGAAAAGAACCAGGTAAACAGTTGACAAAATAATCATTTGTTTAGATTTATTTTTTACTTTGAGCTAGCAGACATTCCCCTTTGTTCTAATTTTGTATTAACTATCACAGAGTTACAAATTACTATGCTCCCATGCAAGTTTTAAAATATGTTTCGTCCTATGAATGCTTAAAGATAAAAAAAGATATGCGCCACTGTACTCTAAACATATACAGGGTGAATTTTGTAAAAGACAAATTTACCACAACCAATGAAAAAAGGTAAATATGTACATTAACAAATACAGCTGCCTTGTTACCAATAAGTGCAATGTGACTTCTAATACATTTAATATAAATTGTTATCTAGTTCGTTGTAACACTTGTAACAATAAAAAAGAAATGTAATGAATTCCAGTGATAACATATTTCCATATTTCCCCCCAATATATTTGAATCAATATGTATATACGCGCCATGTTTAAAAAGCACATACTAAGGGCAGTAACTCCTGCTGAATGACGACTGTAATATCTACCCAGAGTTGTCGCCCCTTACACACACTAACATCTCTGTCAACGGCTAAAAAGTAGCCTGCATTATAATTAGCCGCTGATCATCATACACCGTTGAAAGACGTTATAGCTTTAACTAAAATAAAGGTTCTCGGCTTTACCAAAATTCTTGGCATTTAGGCTTTGACAGAGGGACGGTAGTTCAGTGGTGGGACGCTGGGCTCGTGACCGAAGGGTTTCGTGTTCGATCCACGCCACGGTGTTGTATCTTTGAGCAAGATATTTTACTCCGCTTGTTCCAGTCCACTCAGCTGTAAATTAGTACGTTGTTGGGCAGTGCTAGAATTGTTAATTGCTAGCTTTGAGCGCCGAAATGGCAGCACCGCCTGTATGCTCCCTAGGTGGTGATAAAGCGGTATATAAGAATCTCGAATAATTATTAGTATGAAAGTGAATGTAAGGAACGACAACTCTGGTTAGAAATTATGACCACTGCTATAACAATTGATTTGGAGTTGGTAATATAATTTGCTTCATTTCATTTTGTAATATAAAACATTGCTTTTTATGAATTAACAAGTACGTTAATGTCGTATTACATATTCCCGATTCCATACTTCCCAAGCAAATGACAGGACGGCGGTCATTACAATGCCATATTTCCTGCTTTATCAACATCTCCCTAAAGTGATTAGAGATTGTACTCAATATCAATGTATTCATACGTTTTATTTTGTTCTATTGTTGCAGAATATGTCCATACCGTCACGTTTCCTGTTGCAATCAATGGACTTTCTTACGGAGTTGTACGGAAATTCCCGAAGTACACAAACACCCTTCTAGAAAATAATCGGAAACGAACATTTGATAAACCAATGTAAGTGCTAAATTAAATAACAAAAGTAAGTTTTTAAATTTAAAACAAACGAAAATAAAAATCAGTTATAATTAAACACATATCTAACTTCTTTATATGCAAGGAAAGATTTCAAGAAGCCTATTTTCAACCTTCTCAGACATTTTTGTCTGATGTTCCCCTTTAACGTGATGTCTTCTATCAACGCTCTGGTTCGATGTAGCCAACATTTTGCTCATTTCTGTATGTAATGAAAAATACAATCCTCAGAGAACTATATTTTACGTGTAATGATAAACGTAGTGCACGCAACTCAGTCCGTACTTCAATAAAGACTCCCTCTTTAGGGACGAGCCAGAACGCGATAACCGCGGGATAAAATTATTAAACGAATAAGCAAAAAACATCTAAGGTCCTTTGGCAGAGATAGTTCTTAAATTGGAACACATGTTATTTATCTAATTTATTTCCCCGTGAATGTGTCCGGTTTCAGATTTACTTTATCCATGTGGATGTATATCCTGGATTACTGTAAATTCTCTAACACGGGGCTGTGTGGTCTGACGTATCACGTGAATTGGAACTCCACCTTTCTCTCCCCACTGGTGTTCGTTAACAGGAAAGGTAATATTGTAAAAGATGTGGTTTAATTAGGTTGCCTTACATGCGTCAGCTGTAGGGAATTTCCCTTTAGCTCATCGGTAGAGCATCGGGCTGGAGAACCAAGGGTCGCGGGTTCAAGCCCCAGCGACGGCACTACGTACTTATACCTTTATCACAATTCCTCGACCTACTACAATATTACATATTTCTATGCATGTCCTTCGTGTTGGTAAATGTAGACTGTATACATGTTTATATATGTAGGGCGCTATATCAAATGTTGTATTTGTTTTAATTTTATTTATATATCATAACCAGTGAAATGTCTATGTGTGGTGTTTTAATGACTAGTACGATAGGTTATCTGTCACCTTCATAAGCCAGATGACAGGTGAAGCGTATGTACACTACAGTTTTAAATATACAAGAGTTGACAATACGTTGGTAATAAAACATCTTGAGATTTCCACAATTCTAATACTTCCCATAGACAATATTTGCTTGAGATTTCCCCTCAACTTTGAGATGTTATGTATAAGTGGTCTCTGGTAGTTAAGAATATTCGAGGTATTCATACAAAGTTAAATATTGTAGGTCATGTGATAAAGTTCTTACATTCCATCGGCTACGTCTGTCTTCAATACCGGTATTCAGAAATAAGGATAGAAATAATTATCGGAATTGAAAATATCAAATCATTATTTTAACTGTTTGTGCTGATTGAAACCAACAACGTGCCTCCAACTCAAGAATAGAATTTTCGTGTGTAATTAATTTCACAGTTGTTGATGTACTTAGTAATTATGAGAGTGTGTATATGCCTACACAGACTGAATCTAACCAAGGCACGATTCCTGTCTGAATGAGCATGCGCAAGATATTAACGAGAAATCTCGAAAGAGGATAAACATATATCTAGAGAAATATGTGTAATTCGTTAATAATTCAAATCATTGCTGTTAAATTTATTTTGAATTATTACATTTCAATTCATTTACGATGATTTCGATCCCGTGACTGACTTACAGGCCAGCTACATATCCAAATGAGCAAAGAGAACCGAGAGACTCTAGCCGCGGTCACAGACCTCAAAGTACCCCGGAGACAATGGTTCAGACTCGTGCTCGGATTCTCCAGGAATTTCGTAAGTGGTCAAATTTGAATATAGCGCATGCGCAATGCAGAGTCATTCCTAAAAGTATGACATTTCGTTAAGGATTATAACAGTTATGACAAAAAGTGTACCTATTTGAATGCATTGGTTGAATATTAAAAAAAATGGGTTTTTCGATCACACTGGGATTATTTTTCTGAACATATTTAATGATACCATTAAATGAGGCTCCATACCTTTCAGTGGAAACTGACGATCACACAGGGGGAGCATTTCAATGAAACCACTGAAACTTCTTACAGGTACGTGTGTGTGCTCACATTGTCTTTTGTTTATTTGAGATATGATGCTGTTGTTTGTCATTCAGATGAGAATGCAGAGACCTTATGATTTAATCAGTCTGCCTGAATTTGCTTAAAATTTGCGCGAGAACAGTTAATGAATATATGATAAACACCCACATAATTATGTGATTATTTTAATTAGTGTTTTTATACAACATGTCAACAAGGACAAGCATTATCTTTAATTCAAATATTCTCTTCAGTTTATAATATGTTTTATATAGCTTAAATAAACATCAAGTAAATAGAGGAGAAACATACAATAAAACTTCGTTATACTGCCACCATTTAAAGGGGTTTACCGATTTCTTGGAAAACAAGAAAAAGGAAATTGAAATATGTGTGAGGTAAATGTAGAAGAAAATTAAATGAAGGCCGTTATATCGAGGTGTTTCTGTAGTAAAACCATCTAAACTTCATTTTCATGATTTATTTGCACTATTACCCAGAGTTCCCGGTACAACCTACCTAGATGACACCGAAGGATTGTTCGTGTTCGGCGCGTTCGATGCGACACCTTCGTTTAAGGGGTACATCGGACAGGCGACGTACTACAGGAACAGGCTATTGCAGCCCCATGAGGTACGAATATGTAGTTTTCAGACTATTACAGTCCGAGTAGTTACGAATATGTTGGTGATAAATTTTAATGTCTCAGATTATTATTGTACAAATGTGCTGAAAACGAAATCAGCACGAGGTGGTACGTACGCTTTGAAATTTCCAAAGTAATATCTCGATGCATTGTTTATCATATTTTTATGTATACCATTCGTAAACAGGTATTTATCTTTTTGAAAAAATGTAAACGTCAGTGTTTTGATAAAGACGTGTTTTATGGAACATTTATTCCCGAGAATTGTCAATACATGTTCAAAGATCTCTACTTGATAGGACTTCCTATTTTCTGTTATAGATTCCTCTACCTAGTCCATACCACGCCATGTTTGAGCTGGACCTGTCGCGGCGCACGTCGAAGTGCGAGGGGTTCCAGGAATGGGTATACAGTCGGAGTGCTTACTATGTACAACAAGTGAAGTCTGCACGTCTAGCAGGTACGGGAACTTGTTGTTAGGCATGAAGGTTTAGGGAATGATATGTTGTTTGTTAATTAAAACATTTATTGTAAAAATTACATATTGATTGGGCACAAGTTATTACGACTTCTTATAGCACTTTCCATATATACTGTTTATCTTATATTTTAAGAGGCGCATTTTTTTGCGTATTTGTTTCCAGTGCACTGAGAAATAATAATAATGAAATTGCAAATACAAATACATGCTCATAATGGAATCCTCCATTATTTGAGTCCAGGCTGCATTTAGTATCAAACATCTTAACCCAGCAGCAATTATCTTTATGTTTTGCTGAAGATTTTAAAATCTTTAAAATCATTAAAACAATATGGTAATACCGTATACACGTAAATGTTTGCCCAGTCAAATATTTGCCCCTTTGCCGACACATTCCATGCTCGCCCGGTGTGAATCACGCACTTTACATGTTATTGTTTTATGCTGTGTACTAATATCTGTCTCCGACAGAAACTTCTGGACTCAACTACAATCAAAGAATTCGAGGTTAATTTAGAAGAATACTGGAAATATACATGTGTGAAATATGATAACTTAGCTATAAGTTTTTACATGTATGTATTGTATCATTGATATGGATATAGTAGCAGATATCTGCCTGCGTCCATTTTGTCCTATTAAATCCTATTAAATGATAAATTTGCTCTCATTGGGGAGGGCGAAAAAGGCGGAAGTTAAACCGCGGCGAATATTTCCCGGTATACAATTTACCAAAGGATAAGGAACAGTTGTGAAAGGAGCTATTTGGAGAAAGAACGGCGATACCGTGAAAACATTCTGCATAATTGAGAGAAGCTGATATGCTTTGATTTAACAAAAAAAAAAGATTACCAGCATAATATAAGTCTCAAAAAATAAACCAAAAATCTCTATGACGTCATAATAGTTCCGCTTGATAGTAACATCTTTAAGCAATTCCGATATGCAATACTAATTTGAAATGTGCGTTATTTTTTTTATTTATTGTTGTCTTTAGAGCTTTGCCATACCTATTTATTGTTGTCTTTAGAGCTTTGCCATACCTATTTCTTCGAGCTTTGGAGGAGTATCATGCAGAAGGCGTATGGTGAAGATTTCACCAGCCGTTGTCCTAAATTTGGAGAGCCTAAATCAAAACAATACGGCTACTTGGACCGTTTGATAAAGCGTTCTATACACAAAAAGATGTTCCCGTCACAGAAACAGATCGGGGAGAAACTTTACAACAAAGCTGTCAAATATATTGTAAGTATGAACATGGAGCTACCCTTTATAAATCAGTTAAGCGGAGTCAAGTTTCTAGCGATGGAAGCCAGAGGGCATGGGCAATACTATTGCAGTACATGTTTAGTTCTAGCATGATCATCATTAAAATACATGAGAGGAAGCACCTCTTTGGAAATCTTATTTTGTAAATGCAGAAAAATCGAACAAAGCAAACATTTTACGGCATCATACGGTCATTTCGTCCATTTAGACCTCATCAGTGGTATAAAACGTCGAAAGAAGGAGAAAACCCATGTCTACAATTTTCCAAATAATGTGTAGAATGCAGCGAAAAAAATGAGTGTATATTTTATCGTCATAGATTTACAGATTTTTAACTGTGTAGGGATATTTGGACATTTTTACTTTTTAGAAACATCTTAATTTGGCTGAAGGCAATCACAGTTTGATCATGGAATCTTTCGAGTTTTCTCTCTTCATGGATCACATTTCTTGTTGGTAGCATCCTTCAAGCAATAGATAATCTTGTTTTTATTTACCTTCTGTATCCATGCAAAATGTAATCTTCGGAAAAAACGAAAGCATTTTGCTGGGTTAAAATGTTTGTTAGCCATACCAATGATAGAATAATTTCAAGGTTGGCGTAAACACCATCAGTTTCATTGGCTGGTTATTTTTAGGTGCGTTTATCAGGGGACTATGGTGTTAGTTAATGACGTCATTCACATATAGTGTGAAGGAATCGAACCAGGCGGTTCACAATGGACTGTTTTTAGCGTAAATATACTGTAGGACAAATCTGTAAAACAACGTCTTTCCTTGTAAAGCCAGAACAATACATGTTTCCCGTTAACCCTTCCTACGTTAGATTTCGGTGCCTGTCCTGCAAGTTTATATGTCAGTAGATAACACCAATAATGTCAGCACATTGTACGTCACACTGTTTTCGCACATATATAAACTATGGATATTTTTGCTTAAAGTAAACGATTTGCCATTTTTTCATTTTATTAGCAAAACTGTTGTGTGAAACGCACATATCCATGTACAATTATTGTGTAACTAGTTCGTTTAAGAATATTTTAACAGATAACGTCTCAGATGAGTTAAATCAAAGATCACAAGCAATTTTCTGAGGACTAATATCATGGTTGGTGCGGGATAGCCTTTCCTTTATTAAATGTTGTGAATTAGTCTCACGACATTTAGAATATGACGACTCAGTAAGTTCCTTTCTCCTGATTTCTGTTTTATAATGTTGTCTTCTTTTGTTTTGGCATCTCTTCACATCCTCAATTAGTCATAGTGGTAGCTAATTACATAATTTACTTACAGGAACTTGGTTTTAATCATGTGAGGCGAGCCATACCGTTGCTGAAGCAAGCCAGTTGCTATGACAACCACGACGCTATGTACATGTTGGCCACTCTTCTGAACAATGGCGTCAAGGTCAAGGCCGATGAGCCCCAGGTGAGAATTAAAGCTCTGACTTTTATTTTCTTTCTTTTCTTTTCTGCAGCAAATCTTTCAAAGGAACGAAATCCTGTAGGTCCAAAATACTGATTCAGCAGATTGTCAGCGGAATCTATCTTCAATGTTTACAAAGAACATATTACCCGTAGGCCACTCATCATGCACCAGCATTATGTATTGTGGCTTATAAAATGTTATTTGTTCCTATGAATTAATGTAAGATTGGTTTAAAAGCATGATTGAGATTTCTCGATCTTCACCAAATCTTTTAAACAATTACAGATCGTCCAATTGGCATTGACGCCAAAGTATATTTTTTCTTCGTTTTCTGGGGTTTTGTTGGCACTGCTCAGCGGGTCGGGGATCGAGCAAATAATATAAATGTTGTTAGCAACTGCATGATCGTACAAGGCGACTAATGTAGGAACCCTTTGGAGAATCGTTCCCTCTACATGGGGACACAAAAGCGACAACAATTCTGGATCTTTATATTTCTCTCTACTTCTAACTACCTTTTATTTGCTACCACCTTGCCTGCTGGCTACACCTCAGTTGAACGCTTACCCATGCGAGGAAGGCAATGGGTTATGTTCCTGGGCTGAGATATGCTTAAGTGATAGAATGATATACTTGGTGCCTTACCAGCTGCAACAAGGACGTAAAACAACAAACAAAAACACGTGTTGTGGTCCTGGCGGTCAGCACTCCTATAACGCGTTTGGTCATAGGATAGACCAAATTGAACTGTTGTTAATAATTAGGACGTTAAACATTATACAATCCTGTCTCAGTGTGTTGACAGTGCTATATTTTGTCTCGGTTTGTTAACATCGTAAATAAAATATTTTTGCTACTCTTGATTAGGCACAAGCTTATCTAATGAAAGGCTGTCTGGAGAAACATCGTCTCTGTTGCCTCGCTCTCGCGCACAAACACAGATATGGGCTTGACGGTGTACCACAGGATCTGGAACAGTCTTTTGGTAAGTCCAAATGTTCGGCATTAATTAGCAATTGAGTTAAAAATATACTTACAGCTATAGAATTGTTTTATGATAGACCTTCATTTATTGACAACATGAAATCAGGGACAAGTTGTTCCGAAAATTAAATTGTCAAAATGGACGTACTTCTAAACTTATTCAACCATTCTACAGTCATATTAATTAAATTGTTCACTTTCCAACGGAAACAAATACAACTTGAAATCGAAAAAAATATATGAATTTCAAAGTTATTATAGAGGGTTTGGTTTCGACTGGTAACCCTGAACGAGATAATCCTGTATTCCATATTTAATAATTACTCACGAAGTATGTGGTAAATGTTTGATGTTGTACGCGATTTTTTTTTATGTTTAAATCTTACCAATTGCAGCCGAGTTTTCATTGAAGAATTTTTTTTTATCTTTCGCTAAAAAAATAATCTTCTTTTAAATTTAAGGAACTCGTAATTTCAATTAAATTATTGTCATTGGATATTTCTTTTTTTGTCGAATAATCAATTCGAATGTTTTTCTCTGAAAATTAGGAAAAGATACATATCACTTAATGTTATTTTTTTTCGATTCTTTGAAAACATATATGTGTGTCGATATATCTCAATACCAGTGTACTGTCAATTTATGATAATGAACAGAATTGAATATCATAAATAATCTATATGTGCGAAAATGTCTGGTATCAAAGTTATCTAATCAGACAGAAATCTAGACAGGAATGCACCATGTATTTCACTCACCTTACCTAACTGTGTATTTCAGTTTACTATAAGTTTGTGGCGGACACGGTCCGAGTGGACAAGGAAACCCACAAAGAAACAGACGTAAGTAACACTATACTGCAAAAGTAGGAGTTTTCGCGTGTTGAAATTTTCTATACGAAAAACTATGTAAAATAGTTTTGGTGAATTTTAGTTTAAACTTTCTTTTATTCAAGTGTTTCAATTATATATATATATATGCAATATAACACAAACTAGGAAAAAATTGTGAATTTTGTGTTCATGTTTGAGTTGTTTTTAGCCAATAATCAAACGTTATTTCGGTTATTAAAAATGACATGACCTGAAACCAGCGTCCAGTGTGGTCAGTTTTATCTTTGGAAGAGCAAATGACAAATAAAGCTTAGACCGAAATAGCGCAATATAGTTTAAACAGTTTAATTTCTTGCCAAAAGTAGACAGAAAGATTACGCAAAAGTCAAGTGATTGGGTATTCTAATAAAATTTGTAAATACTTGTATGAATATTGTTTCAATTATTGTTTTATCATGATCTGATGGCATTGGAACGCTTGGCATGTGTAAGGATGTTCAATACATGTACATCATTTGTTTTACAACAGTTATGAAACAAGTTTTAACAATTAATAATAATCATTCAGATTGGCTTTCTAATTGAAACGCGCAGGGGGTTATAATACGGGAGGAAACCGGGGAACTTGGAGAAAACTAACAAAATCGGGCAGTTGTAAGTGATTGATTGGTGATCGTTGTATCTAGTATCAATGGTATTTCACTTCCCCATTTGCCAGGTGTTGACAGAGTCGGTGAGACTGACAGACGAGGATCAGCTGCGCGAGCAGACGGACGAGGACGGAGACGTTTTCCAGTGGCTAAAACATCAGGCAAGCAATGGTGTCTTCTCTGCCCAGGTTAGTTAAATAACGCTGCAGAAAACTCGTACACTTCTGCAGGAATACATTCTTCTAACAATCTTATTGGGAAGTTGCTTGTGTCATTAATTGTTGGCATTGGGGAATATTTTCCCCGTTTTGCTTGGTGTTATATCTGAAAGAAATATAAATATTATGTAACTTTATATTTTAATTTAAGTTTATTGTTTTGGATGCTACTTATCAAACGAGTTTCAGCTATCACAATTTAACACTACGTGATGGGTGATCTTGCTTAATTACAAACTTAATTGTCTCCATTCCAAAACATGACATCTTTTGAATTTTACACTTTTTTCGATGTTAGTAAACAAATGAATATCAGTTATTACAATTTAGTATTACGTGATGCATGATCTTGCGTACAAACCTAGCATTTAAATGTCTCCATAGCAACACATAGCACGAGTGCTGTTTTGGGGCTCCCAGGGTATGAAGCGGAACATGGCGGCTGCCACGGAGTACTTCCGGTTAGGGGCAGAATCTCAGGATCCTCAGGCCATGTATGATTACGGAATTATTCTACTCAAGGCAAGTCCATCTGTATTACTATTCATCATTTGTAACGAGCGTTTCGATTGGCTAATCGACTTAAATTTTAGAAAGTGGTTATTTCTCATATAATTGTGATTATCCTAATCCCAAGAGTTTTTCGAACATGCCGCTCTGATTTATGTATTATATATGTATATATATTAATTATAACGTACATAATGTTGCTACGAAAATGTACTGCACTGCAGCGACAACAAAAAGTAAGGAACCAAACAATGGAACTCAGAATCAATTTTTCAAAAACATCAATAAAGGGGGAAAAGAGGTAGCTAAAAATAATTGAATATTATAATCTACCTCAATCTGGAGGCAAAACAGAGTTTCCTAGAAGTGGCAGCGTTTTCTGTGGCCTCTGGTATGACTTTACAAGTCAAATCTCGGAAATAATAATCTTATATAGAAATAACGATATCATAATAATACAATATTTACACGATTGCAGGGACAGGGAATCAAGAAGAACAAGACGGAAGGACTTCAGCATATCCAGGCCAGTGCTGACAAGGTACTTTTAATGAGTTTTTTAAGGTGATATTATTGTTTATTAAATTATTCAATCTCTGGCTTGTAAAGATACCCTTGTATAGACTTCGACTGCTTACACTCACTGATACAAATACGGGGCAGGAGGGTCCTCTTTGAAGAAAGTCACATTCACTTAACATTATTGTGTGTGTTTTGTCATTCAATTAATATCTTTATGGCAACTAATGAATGTTTCAGTAAAGTCTACGTCTGACTATTTTCTTAGAATTATTGCTGGATTTCATTTTGACACTAAAGTTTTCCCCAGGAAAACAACAGGAATAAAAATGGGGACATTCCTGAATATACAATTGTTGTTGGTCTTCTGGTTGCTGTTTCCATTCATTATGACTATTATCATATTTTGAAGAAAAATCCATCAGCGTTGAACGCACTAGGTTGGTACGCTCATAACTTCGACAAAAATATGACCGCAGCGATATACTACTTCGAGAAGGCATTCAGGGGAGGTAATGCAGACGCTGCCTACAACCTTGGATTGTTCCATCTCCATGGAGAGTACCCTGGGAAACCTCCTAATTCGGTACATATCAAACGTATTGTATCCGTTATTGCTAACTAGACGGTATTGTAAAGTCTTATCATTGACATATCTCTTTCAAACATGTTATCCTGAGTGCAAAATTGTCCTTAAATGACCTTAGCTGTTAAATGTAGAAAGTTACGAATCAAACCATTAAGTATTTTTGTGTGACGTGTCGGTGACTAGTACGATACATACCCTGTCACCTTCACCAGACAAATGACCAGTGAAGCGAATGTACATATATGAAATACGAGTTGGCAATGTATGGACACTTAGTTGTTATACATGTTCAAAATGACAAGTCATACCAACAATTCGATTAGGCTACTCTACGCTTTGTTTAATACCTGTTAATAACAATGCAACGTTTTCAACTTAAGTTGTTCATAAATGTGTATATTATCTTAATTCGTGAAATAATCTGATATGCATCGGGGCAGGTTTACGGGGTCTCGAGTCCACACCAGAATCATGCGTTCTTACACCTTCATTCTGCGGCAGCAGGTCGCATCCTGGCCTGCGCATCACTAAGTCGCATCTAATCCTCCCCTTTGAAAAATTCAAAATTGTATCCAGGATGAAATTTTATTTTTGTACTGAATCAAAATTCAAAATTGATTTTCACATTGTAACTTGTCCAAAACAAGTTTAAAAACTAAGCAGTATTTTTTTTTAAACAGGATATCGCCCTAGATTACTTCAACTTCGCAGCTACAAGAAGCCAGATAGATGCCGGTGTCTTCGTGTCGTACCTGAACATGAAGGGTACCTTCCTACGCAGCCGGGAGGTATACGTGGCTATCGAGTAAGTTGGTCTTGTAATAAGTTGACAATTTCTTTGTTGAGTTCGGTGGCTGTTGGCATTCCTTTGGGAATGAGCTGTTCCTCTCCTGGCGGTCTTGTTTTTGTTTCATATGAGGCTGAATAAATTGAAGAGCCTATCAAAACTGGTAACAAACAACTTTCCAAGTCCTCTATATTCCCTTCTTGATATCGACGATGTGCTGTCTTTAAATAACAAGAAACTCATTGACCTCATCGGTCGTATATGTCTTCCCCAACTTGAAGTAAAGGTCACTTCAAACTCTACATCAGCGACTCTCTGTGAACTTTACATACAACATGGCCGGTACGAACTGTTTATTTCTAATCTGAACGATAAACATGGCAATTAATTTTTCAGATTGTGAACTTCACCTTTTTTGAAAATAGCATCCAAGTTTTTTTTATTATAGTAATTACTGTGCCGCATTGTTTTAATTCTCGCCTTGAAGAGCATTGCTTTACTTGGATTGACATGACAGAATGTCGTTGATGAAGCAGAATCGGTTAACCCACTAACGATGAGTCTTTATTCTTCATCCGATTTTTTAAGTGTCTCCGAATAAATCTATCCTATGTTTATATTGATACGGAACCACGAAAATATGTGGAAATAATTTAACAGTCATTTTATTGTACAGATGGGCCAGGTTCATCGCTGAAAAGAATCCTGAATTGGGCTTTGTTTTGAGGAAAGGATTAACAGCCTTCAGAAATGACGAGAGGTATGCATCGGATAAAAGTGACATCACACTGCAATATCTACTTACGATATACTTAAACGGAAACAGATGTTTTAATGTGGCAATAAAGGATATCTAGAGGAATTAAACGTTTTACTATTTCTACTTCAAAGGCACGAAATCTGGCGAAAAAGATTTGATTAAGTGATACAGGTTGCTGTAAGAAAATCACTAGAAAGACAGGATAGGACTGGTTTTTTTTTTAAAGGTAGTTTGTCGATGCAAACAAGGTAAATATTTTTTGAACTGTTTGGTCATTCTATCCATTAAGATGATGAAGGTTAGAATAAAGAAAATCCGTGCCCATTGTATACTAAAACTTGTCAAAAAAACCATAGTTCATGTTATTTTCTTTATAGCGTTGCACATTAACTACTTAAATTACCTAAATCACTTGAACGGATATTTTTTTACATTAAACATTGTTTTCACGTAAACTTAGAAACTTCCAGAAAGCATAGGTGACAGCTACTCGGAGGACCTCTTCAAAACATCCAATCTGTTCATTAGGGTAATATACTTAGTTCAAAAGAAAATATTATTAACACAAATTATTTCAATAATGACATTACCCAAAATATTATATATGACTTAATACTTCATAAGTTGGTCTCGCTTTACAAGCTCAATGAAGCTGCTGGTGAAACATGGGTCCCCGATAGCCCCGTCAAATGCTTGGAGTAGTCAATTGTCATGATGCGTTAAATTGTACCATGTACTACATATTATGATATCTTTGTCCCGAACTATGTTATTCCGTGCTTAACGTCCAGCATTAAGGGGGATGGCAATAACTGGTTCACCCGTTGTCAGTATAATGTGACCGGGCGTAATGCTGTACTAGGTGCCTTCGGCATAGTATTTCAGTGATAGCACTATCAAGTCGGCATCAGATCCGCGCTATCACAATGAGGCAAAAACACGTACATACCCTGCCTCATGCACACTCACACGCAAGCATGCATAAACAACACATATGGAGGCACGTGCTTAAATTGCCTTAGTTGTTGATAGGACGTTAAACAAAACAAAAGCAAACCAATTTTATTCGGGCTTTGATATTCGTTTAAACGCTACATCATAATTTTCATTTTTCTGACTCACTGCACTAAATGTCTTTTGTCTTTGTTCTCACAGACACGTGGCACTGCTGTACTACCTCATGGCTGCTGATGCTGGGATAGAGGCGGGCTCTTTCAACCTAGCCTGGCTCTGTGAGGAGAATCAAGTATGTATTGTAAAGAAACGGTTAACCTTGTTTCAGACTTAAAGAACAAAAAACCAAACACGAGACATCAACAGGAAATGAGGAGATATTTGATTTCTTACCACAGAAATGTATGTTGAAAACTTAAAAAAACATTTAGTTTAGGTGTTTCTTCCTTGTTAAGGTAGGGTTTTGTGTTTAACTATCCCGATGTGTCGGTTTTTTGGCTAATCAACAAACCATAATGGAGACATGTTTTATTGCCTTCAATTTCGGTTTTGGAACTCTTTTGTCGAGAAAGTAATATACTTTCTATTTTACTTAAAACCATTGGTATTTTGCCTTGTTAGAAATACTTTTTGTATAATACAATGACATTTTTCAGTCATTCAACGTTTGATTTTTGTAGGATGGCATTGCCAGCTCTATAGAAAAGGAATGCCAATGGCGCCAGTACAATATCACAACGCAGAGAGAAAAACAATTTGTTGACCCATACGGTGAGCAGAAAATGACTAGATATCCCTGTTCACATTTCAGTATCGTTTAATGAAAACCCCGTTAACTGTAACATTTAGTGGTGGGAAAAGACTATGAATATTACAAATTTTGATTATTTCAAATGATTTTTACTTTTATGTTTTGTAATAAACACATACAAATGTAGTTAAAATCTGTTTCACGAAGAAGAATTTTATTTACTTTTGCATTGCCTAAAACTGGTTTCGGTGAATGAAAAAAAATGAAATCGAAACAAATATTAAAAACAACGCATGCGTAAAGAGCTTCGATCCTTGGATGGACTTACTTTTGGGCAATCTCTACCAATATTTTTTATGTGAATATTTCAGCTCTAATAAAGATGGGAGATTACTATTGGTATGGTTGTGGAGGTAAGAGAGACCCGAGGAAAGCGGCCGACATGTACACTCAAGCCGCTCAGAAAAAGGACCCCCACGTAAGTTCATAGTCTCTGAGTATTCTGTACTGTCCTTGCTTATTTTGAGACGTTTTTGCACATTAGCATCGTCAGGTATGTTATATTATGGTATATAAATTATTTGAGTTGTGTTAATTGAATTATCTCCCCTTTGCCAATACTGAGGGATGCTTTCTAATGGTTTTTTGTTTGTTTTTGTTTTGCCCTATTGTAATCCATTAAGAGTTATAATTACTGTGTTTTTCTCTTTCTTCCTTCTTCAGTGAAAGTTCCATATTTTCCTAATCATTAGATATGTAATTAGTGTTATTATCCGGTAAGGGTGAATGGATGACACTTATAGTGCGGAACACATTCACTATTTAGGATTTTATAATCTTTGGCAGAGCCCTTTATGATCGTTTCTGAGATTTGTTCTGTCGTTTTGTTTAATAGAGTGTAGACATAATGCTGTGTTGATTTAGGGCTGGTTAATACACCTCTCTTTCGCTGTAACAAAACAGCACATTCATCCTTGTCTTGTACACCATCCCTAATAACGATTTTTTAATATCAAGCTGACATAACGTATGCATGCAGTACACATGCATGCTATCTAAACTGCGTATCACACTTTAAGCTATCGAAACATACGACTTACCTCCCGTTGAACAATCAGTATAAGGTAAACCTAGACCTAAATCATAAAAAACCCGTTTATATTATTGCTGCAGTTAATCATTATTTCAAAAATATGTTCATATTCTTCAAGCAATGTTGTAGGTACAGTTTTATATAGATATGTATCTCTTCTGTTTTCCCTTTTAAAATCTCTGTGTGATCATTTATCATTAGTTTTGTTAAGTCACATCTGCTGTTTTTATTCCGTATTTGCTTTGAGTTCGATTTCGTTTTATGAGTGAATTTAATCTGTTTTTCAAAAATCTTTTCCAGGCTATATTTAACCTTGGTTTGATGGTGGAGGAGGGAGAAAAAATACATCCGTCTGTCTGGAAGTCACTTTATATCCCGAAACAGGACCAATCCAACAACTACACTCTTCTTTCGACCATTTATAGGAAGTAAATGGAAACTTAAAAAAAATGATATTATTGTTTTTCATTCATAACAATTTTAGTTTTAGAATGGCATATTCATCTGTTTGTAATACAGGGTACAAGGGCCAAACGTTTAAGGGTGAAATGCATACAATGCATTTAAAAACGCTTTGAACAACACGTTTAATACAAAAATAACGTAGGAGCTGAGCATTAATGCGTTAATTCCACTTTATTCTAAGATTGACGACGAGCTATGTCCCCTTCATATATGACATGAATCTGAAAAAAAACTTTTGCCGGGGAGTTTAAAAAAAATTAAGCTTGCTTATTAAACTTAAATTTGTAAATCCTTCGTGTTGTAATTTCATGATTTTCTTAAATGCTATAGCTTTTTAACTAAAATATATTATATCACTTGATACATTTTCATCAGATGCAGAGATTCTCCTAAATCCGAGGCCTACCTGCCGTGTTCCATGGCTCTTTATCGGGTACAGTTCCTGGAAATGTGGGACAAACACAGAGATATACTACAGGTATATATAAACTGTTTAATCATGCCTCCATTGTATTATAGGTATTACGAAATGTTTACAATAACCGATAATGTCAGCATAAACAACTGGTAAGGTTATACGTAATCGGAAGATTGAGAGATCACGTATGTCATTTTAACCATTTTAAATATTTCGAAGTTTCGAAAGGACATGGTAAGTATTATAACAACATAGAGTACTATATCAGCAATACACCAGGACAGAAGTGGATGTCAAAAGACAAAAGTAAAGCTATCATGTACTTCAACAAAATCATGCAATAATTGTTAAGAAGGAAAATATGTTATTCACCACATGTGGCACTAAGCAGATATTTCCCATCAATTGAGGAAAGTACATGCTTAAAAAGCAGTGTATGACGACAGGCGTAAGAATTCCTCAACGAGATTAAATCATCTCTGGTCAGGTAGCATATTGATTCTCAAACAGGGCTATTTCATCCTTACATTCTTGATGTTCAGCTTATCCAATCTTGTGTAAAATTTAAAAAACAACAACATATGTATAGTTGTATTGGTACAGTCCATAACCCTTATCCTTACCATAACCATAGCTGACCTATATATTTTCTGTTCTTATTCCGATCGAACACATACCGAAGTCCTCCCGCTTAAGTTCGCTTTCTTATAAATCATGTGCCGTTCTTGGTCTCCAAAGCTAAGGCAAAGCAATCGTAATGGCATATAAGTTAGATATTACAATTGAGGTACAGCACATAAGTCTTGCGTATCATTCCTTCTCGTTATCTTACGTTTAATATATAACTCTTTTGAATATCCCATCCCTTTGAGTTTGGTGTTGAGCTTACTTGAAACAGGAAGGGGTTTGCCAATGATTGTTTAATGAAATGATATATTTTACAAATCTTATTATCTCGTAACCTTCGTTTAATACAGAAGATTTGTAATCATCCCTCTTTGCGTTTTGAGTTGAGGTATTTTGTGATAGAAAGGGGTTTTCCAGATAATCTTTTTGTGAAACAATATATTTTGTATATCCTGCCATCTCGTAACCTTACATTTAACATAGAACCTGTTTGTACATATCCTTGAGTTTTGAGTACGGGCTATTTGAGATAGGGCTACTTGAGATAGGAAGGCTATTGAAAGATTATTGATACGAGGACAAGTATCACGAGCCATACCTGTTACAAATGCTGACGTATGTATTAACTTGCTTTTACAGTTGCGGAGCAAATTGATAAGATGTCCAATGGGTGAACGTAACACACAAATGTGATGCACTTTTAAATTTGGTGAATGTACAGTATGCCAAAAATAGAATAAATCATAGAAAAATATAAATCCCGTACTTGTTGAAGACAAACATTTTAAGCAAATGAAGCCGACATGATCTAGATTGATAATGATGAATTGCTATTTAATTGCGAGGAGACGACAGTTGTATCAGCCTCACAAAATCAAATTAGCAATTTCGAAAGAGTTAATTTCATTTCATTGAGATTAATAAACTATCACTCCTTAACGAGTAAAATTCAGGGATGACTGTACAATGTATGGATTACGTATGTCTAATTTACATAATGTATTGTCATTTCATATATTTTTGTTAGCAATTTTGACACTTATGCCAAATCTTGTTAAAACAGCAATTAAACCTTTAACACCTCAAACAATAGATATATGTGTTACCTATCGTTCTCTTAATGAGTTTGTACTTGAATAAAATAATTTCTAGTTTATAAATCCCGCACGGGTACAGCCGGAAGGGACTTATGTTCATATTCCGTTCGTTCGTAAGTCAATAAGGAGCTTTATCCTTTGTCGCTCTTTCTGGGGCATTTCTGATAAGGAAATCACGAACCATTTCTTCATTTAGTAATCCCGGTGTTCTTTTTTCACCCGCTTTTTTATTTCTGGAGATTATCTCAGAATCCAAAATACTTTTAAAATTTATCATGTTCATGAACATCAAACGCTTTTGCGTGAGCTTCATAGGTAACACACACACGTATGCGTAAAAGAAACTCCAGTCAAAATTGACTATGAAATTCCATAGACCTAGCATGTCAATTCACTTGCATAATTTGGGAAATCGCGCGTGCACTAATTCCGTTTACGGAAACCGCCATTTTAGATCAACTGAATGTAGAACAATTGCCAATAAAATTAATCTATTTCAATACAGAAACATACGGTCTCAGATAATATTTCTTTCCTTTTTCAATTTTAACGATTTTTATGAAATAACGCCGATTTCCCTGGCCATTTCTAACTATCGAGTCAGAACCCAGCACACACAAATAAAACCTGTGTACAACGGCATCAGTCATTATGACGTCATAATCGATATTTCCCGCGTATATATTTTATACTGATGATAAGCGGTGTGGTTTAGTAAAACGGTACATGTTATAAAGAATATATGTCAGGCATCCTTGTTTTGAGATTCTGCTGTAGGCTACACGATGCGTATATTAGTTACATATGCAATACACGTAGTTTCCTTTACACAGTCAAATAGGAAAAATCACAATCATTAAACATTTAATAAAATTCAGTATGAGATCAGGTTGTAAAAATATCAAAACTAATATCATATAAAAGTATCATAATGTTTGTGTGTGAGAAATCCGGGCGCTCTTGAGTCCATGTAAAGGTCAGGAAAAGGGTTGAATTTTGTATTTCCATTTTCGTTGTGTCTACAAACGAAAAGGGTTATAAATAGCAAAATGTCATCGCAACAATCGACGCAAATAATGGAATGTGCATATGGTGATATCGTCAATTGTATTTACTCGTCAACGTTCTTTGCGTCAGTGAAAGTTTTAGCTAAAACGGGGACCCCGTTGTATTTTTCTGAAAAATTAACAAATAATTAATAAATACTTTCTTGTTAATACCAATATTCGATAACTCTAAATAATGGAACCGTAATATAATTTTCTGTGTAATGCTCTGAACAAGATACATATGTATGTGTACACTGTTTCCAGTCATCGTAAAGTCATCTACATTTTATATTAGAATTTGCTGAATGAAAAAAATATCCAATTTCTGCATTTTCATTTTTGAATCTTTATTATATTGTCATTTGATGATGAAAAATAAAAATAAAAGGCCTCCAGATGGCAAGAGCTGATAATTGATTATATCGGTGTAGCGGAACTGGACTGGGTCGATCGTCGTCGACCAGATATCTCAATTGGTAGAGCGTCCGTCTTGAGTTCGGAGGGTTCGAACCCCGGTTTGGCCGTGCATTTTTCCTCCCCTGTTACAAGGTATACATTATTAAATCGGCTAACGTCCTCTTTCACATTATATACCGTAATATACCGTAACACACACATCATTGTGATAAGAATTAAAGTATGGTCCATACTGCATTGTACATGTCTATTCCATTTAACTATATCATGCACCAACGGCTTTCAATACAAAAATGAACCTCTTCGTGCGATGCGATATCGTTTAAAATATTAATACTTACTCTTAAACTATTATCAGGTGGTTACACCATTTTATTTAATGAATTGAAATATATACAGTATAATTTTATTTAGCGTTCGCTTCTAGGTGGCACCTATTTCATATTAGTTTATATTGTGTGAAATGATGTAGATGTGCACAAGGGATTTAAAAAAGATGAAGATAATGAAAGTCGATTTTACAAAAAGACAAATTAACAGGGAGGGAAGATGATGGGGTGGGGGGTACGGTCAGGCACATGGCGGGACTATTGCTGTCCTATGAGTGCTCAGCTTGTTTGAACCTTGTATTTTTGTACGGAAAAAGGGACAGGGTGTGGTCGCAATACGTAACTTTCATAGCATTAATTAATGTTTCATTTTCATGAAACAAAATGATTAAATCTTCCATTTGTACAGTGTTACAAACTGTATCTATGTAACCCGTTGAGTTAGTGTAATTGCTTTGAGTATTTATCCCTTATTCAAAGACCAAGTAAGAGATGACCTAAAAATAGTTCGTATTTCCCAGGTCGCTGGTCAGGGTAACGGTCACTGTCGCACGCTATCATTGCAGCGATGTTGTTATAAGCTTATTCAAGATGAGATTTGATATAAAGTATATGAATACCTCCGAGTTACATGTAGTTTGGGGTATTAGAGTTGATGTCGCCCTCTAGATCTGTCCGCCATACATTCTTGTGTTCATACAACAGATAAACAGTAACCCTAAGTAAAACCATTCTTAGACTTAATTTTCAACGTTTTTTATTTGAATCTCTAAATAATTATTTAAGAAAGATATGAATATTTCATATGAATTTATCAAGTATGATAATACATTTCGGGATCAAAACAGTTTACAAAAAATATGAATCATTGTAAATTGATGCAAAATGATGTTCATGTCATTAAACTTGACGCTTCCGACTCCATAATCCGTTTGGTTTACAAACTGTTGGCTTAATTACAAATTGACGCAAACTTTCAATATCAAATTATTCTTATATTTGATTTACTCCCTTTTTAAAATTTGATAAATTAAGTAAAGTTGCAGGTTTAATTTGACACCTTCTGTGAGTCATTTCAGTACTTTAGCTAATTTTCATTGAAAATTATACGTTATGATTGAGAGGCGTTGATCTTGAGATCATTTACACGATGTTTTTATTAACAAAATGTATATTAAATATCGATTAGCGTGATATACACATGCGCTCTGCAGATACATTACAGTTTTATACTGTCACGTGCATAATTGGTTACCAACACGTGTTACCTGTATACGGGTATGGTGTTTTTTATTGGGTTACCTGGATAGAGGTTTATTATTTCAAATAAGGTTATATATACCTGTATAATGATTCAATCTTCAATTTGGGTGATCTTTGGACAAGTATGGTGATTCAGATTTAGTTACCTGTGTACATGTATACTGTTTCTGTACCTGTGGACAGGAAAATTGTTTAAAAATCCGGTTACCTATGTGCAAATAAAGTGTTGTTGTGTCGCGATCGGAATACCTGTGTACAGGTAGAGTGTTTTATATATTTGGTTACAAGTGTACAGTCTACGTGGGGCAGTCGCCAGGTACTGACCGTATGTCTCGGGTTTTTCTCTTGGAACTCCGGCTCTCCTCCACCACCAAAATCTGGCACGTCCTTAAATGACAATAGCTGTTTATAGGACGTAAAACACAAACAAACCAAAGCTTTAAATTGTGTCAGCAGTACCTGTTTCTAGCTTAAATGCATGATATTTCAGACGAGTAATGTTACTTGTGTACAGGTGCTGGTTTTCTTATCTGGTTACCTATACAAGAACACTGTGTACATTAAGTGTTTAATTTAGGGTTATCTGTAAAGAAATGTGGAGTCTTAGATCGGGTTGATATATGCACGTTAGGCTTTCATATAGGCTTACTTGTGCCTTTAGACAGATTTAGCGGTTCATACCTGTGTTCATTTATAAACCTACTGATCTTTATTATCCTCTCCAATCTTTTAACAGGTTGTCAGCTTCATTCTGTCTGGAGTGGTTACCGTCCTCAGTCTTCGTCACATCGTCCAGTCATTGAGGGGAAATCGTCGACCAGTTGATCTGGATATCCTATGATGTACATAAGACCCGAACATCAATTGATAGTTACATATGACGTTATTTTTGGTTAATAGTGTCATGTTCGACAAAAAAAAAAATACATGGACAAGGTAAGGTGCATATGGTGATATTATTGCCTGGGTATCAAAAGGGTCTGCAACTTGTGATTTTAAAGATTTTTTTTCAACATTACTCTCAAAATAATATCACTGTTTGTTTTTTGTCATTCATGTACTCCTTCGATCCAAGATCTTCCCTTTTTTAAAAAGATTATGATTTTCTGAATTGAAAAAGTCTCCAAAGCTTAGAAAATTTCTGAAACAGAGTTGAGAGTTGTTTGACATCAATATCACACTGCAATGTCATAAACCGTTTCTTTTTACACTAAGTTGTTATTGAAAAAAATGTCTGCGTCCAATTTTATTTTCACTGACATACTTTTCATTTGTTGGTGTGGACGAAAAAACCTCAAGAATTTTGTGGTCCAATAACCCGTAGATCAAGAAAGGAAAAAATTAACCAGATACAAATTCCTCAAAAGTAGCTTAGAACCATAGCTTTAATTACATGTTTTCAATGATAACTCTACGTCAGTCCAGGACTATGGTATGCAATACTAAGAAATATTCTGGTTGAATTATAGAGACAAAATCAAAACTAATTTTGACGTCACAATTGCAATTATGGTGATCTCATTTAGTAATTATTTCATGGGGACAACGCAATATTGAACGATTTAAGTTTAGTCAGCAAGGTCTAAATAGTGTTCGGGTCGGCAGGCAAAATGTTTAATCTGCAATATATATGTCTTCGCAAACTGTTTATAAGCATGTTGTGATAAGGTTATCAATTCAACTTTAAGTCGCAAAACCTTTGATTCTGTTTCCACGTAAGCTACTCAAAAGAAGTTACAAATAATGAATATTGATTTGAATTCTTTATTCATTCATATTTAATTATTATTTATGCCTATTTGACACGTATCATTGTCTTTCGCTGGTTTGTATTGTAATGATAAAGTGTATTTTAAGATGCTGTTGCGCCATTACTTAATCTATTCAAATTCGCTCTACATACTTACAATGTAATGCATAGACAATGCAATACGGATAATTCCACTATTGCACCATTTGGTCATGTGACCACTATCGTGACGTCATCGATCTTCATGAGAAAAGGCCGATTTCGTTATCCAAAGAAATGACGTTAGGAGATTAAGATAACTAAATAAAGCATAAGTACTCCATTAAACTTCATGCATATTTAAATAAATAATGGCATTGTCCCCTAACACGTTTACTTAGTTTATTTTAACAAAAATCGTCAATATCAAAACATTCAGGGACCACAGTTTCATTTGCAATTATATTCATTAATTTGCTCTGTGATGAACGAAGTTTTCCCTTTTAGAACTTCTTAATTGAAACTCTGAAATGGCGATTTATTTATTTATTTATTTATTTTTTTTAAACATTTCCGAGTAATCATGTTAATTTCGTGGGAGAGGACGGTTTTTAGATTAACAATTCCTGATTATGTATAATCATATCTTCTTAGCAGTTGGCTCTTTGCTCTGTGCAATCGTTTGTCGTGACGTTATGCTTAAATGAAGGTACATCCATGTATGTTTTAGCAAGATAATTTGTTTCTTCTCGGAATAATTTCAAAATGTTTTAACTCCCTCAAAAGTCTCGCACTTTGTTTGACGTTATTATAGAAACATATTCAATTTAGTGTAAAATTGAAGTGAAATACATCATCGTATACCTCTTGAGAGATTCGTTTCACTTGGAATGTATTCAACTCGTTTAATATGTAAAACAACTGTTTGTTTAAGAACCACAATCACTTTGTATGTTACTGTTCCTTAATTGATATATTGCACTACTTTGATGTTCCACTTATTTAGTTATCATATACAATCTAGTCATTGGTTGGCTTGTTTATCGTTTATTTGATTGATTTTTTAATGATTTAAAACATTTGTTTATTTCTGTGCATGTTTTTTTTTTTTTTTTTTAATTTAAATTAACAAGATTACAAAAAAATAGTCCCTTGTTTGAAAGAAAACTTGTAAATATCACCACATCCATATCGTTTAATTATTTATTGATGCTTGTTTTGTATGATTGTATTATTTTTTTTGGTTTCAATCGAGCCTCCTCTTTAATACAAACAGCACAAATCGATTGTGTTTTATAGGACGAGTTCAATGTAATATCACAGAATCATATCCAGACATCGTGACTAGGAACAACATTGACTGAATTATCGGGGCCATGTTCTTTATGTTTCACAGAGACATTTAGAATCTTATTCTGGAAAAAATACCTTACTGTTGTATTTGAAACAAAATACGTTTTATTATACCATAGATTTGTATAATTTGTTTGCTTATTCAGTATTACATTTCTGAAAGCATACAAACTATGGTTAATTTGAGCAAGGTGTTCAGGAGAACATCTTTAGCCAGATTCATTTTTCATTTACAGTAACTAATGCTTTAGTATTTGTTCCTGTTGACAAACTTTCGTGAACGGCTTATTATTGTTCCCGTTTACTGTATAGTTGGTGATTTGCGGGGTAAATGTAATTTCGTTATATGCGGTCACAAAAGCTAGCGCAAAATTACACATTGAGTGAATAATTTAACCATAAATATACAGGGATAAAAGAAAAGTTATATTTTTCCTTTTTGCTGCTAAAAATTAAAGATAAAACAACAATTTAATGTCGTATTTTCAGTTTTTTTGATAAAATTAAATCTTATAACGAAAAAGTACCCTCTTGAGCGCTATACAGTGCGTTTTGTTGCGTGAAAGTTAACCCTTTCACCACTGTAGACCATAATGAACTCATCCAGATCAATGCATGGTAGAGTCTTCTAAAGTTACATAGGGGTGAAAGGGTTGACCTCCACGATCTAATTCTGATGGGAAAAACTATTATTAATAAATCAAAAAAATTATTAAAAAAATAATTTTTTATCGATGTTTTGTTCATTTATGTGAAGTAACTTTATATAACATCCCTCTCTCATCGAACATTATGTGACCGAGTCTTTCATTTCCTCCCTGACGTTACTTAACCGTTAAAACCCTATTTAGTATTCACTTTGTTTGATTGACAATCATTTGCTTGGTTACATATTGTTACAATGTATGCATATATACGTCATCGATCTTGTCATTCTTGTTATGAACAAAGCATTGCCAAGATATCTACAATGACCTCACCATTGAACAAAAGAAATGGCCTTCTAAATATATTTGTTTTTGATTGACAGTTTATTAACTGAAATGGGGTTGGTTATACATGTAGCTTGTGTTTTTGTCGTTGTTCAATATAAATAAATCATTATCAATACACAGAGCATGTGACAATTACTTGCAGTAAATGTGACCTTTAGCATTAAATGGAAAGATATATAAGTCACATTCCAAAATATGTGGTATGTCACAGCCTAATGATCCATATGCAAGCATATCCTCATTGTTAGTTTACCTACAAAAATTAATAACGGCAGTTAAAATTTAATCTAGTAATTTAGTTTTGCTATCATTTTTATCCATATTTGTCAGGGATTGCTAGATAAGTCTTCCATATGTTTCATTGTTAATGAAATAATGTTTTAGATTGGATCAAGTGTTGAGAATTCTGATATATTATGATAAGGGTCTCATTATAGTAACAGGGACAGGTCGGATTCAGTTTACCTCTCCGTCCGTTAATAATCGACGCTACTTACCTTCTAAACCGGTATTGATGGAACTTCGCGGGTATTATCAGTGCCTTATTAGACTGCATTTTTGCAGTTTGATTTTTTTTCGATTTATATTTTGAAATTATAACCATTTTTTCTGCTTTCCATCCACTGGAGAGGAATAGGTTTCAATTAGCCTACTGTTTAAAGTTCTGGACAAAGACATTTCAATTTCAAAAATAGATACGGTGCCATCATGACAATAGAGATCGCAATCAAATTATTGATTTGCATTTTAGAACAGGATAAAAAAACCCAGTTTTAAACAATGTCGAAAAAGTAGGGCCCGTATTCATGAAAACGTACTCATGCTCAAGCCAGGCTTTTGTGCTGTAGCGTTTCTTGTAACTGGCTGAAACCATGTCAAACGATTAAAAAGTCAAATGAAAACATTGAAAACAGTATTTGGTTTTAAGTCTCTACGTTTGTGTTTTTTTCAAATCATCTACCAAATAATATTTATTATTAATTTATAAAGACAACAGGAAATCGAGTTTGACCACAAAATCCGTGCTTAAGTATGAGAATGGTGTCATGAATACGGGCTCTGGTTTTGTATATGTAAGATTGCACTATGCTGTATTGTGTGTTAGGATCTAATCTAAACTGAACTTTAATATTTAGTAAAAGTTGTAACAATGGCGATTCTTTGTTTTACTTAATTCTTGTAAAGTAAGTATTAATCCTGTTATTACATAACAGTCTATAAATCAAATCTCTTGTCAGTAATAAGTCAGTATTATTAAAAATTATGTTGTCTTTTCATTCATAAAATGACAATTTTGTATGAATGAATAATCTGAAGAATTATCTCGAAAATAGAATTTCGAGAAACATATGTGAATCAGAGTAGCCGAATGTCATATGACGTTTTATTTACCATTATGCAATTATCTGAATACTGTGCAATTTTGTTTGTTTAGTCATTAAAGAGGTTGTCATCTTTGTTTTTAAAATAAAAGGTTGGATAGAGAAATATCTTGTTGTTGTTTATCAAAAAGGGATAGTAAATGTCAATCGGAAATTATTCATGAATATCCGGCCCGCTGCTATCATTTTTCTTCGTGTACATCTCAGAACAAATAGACACTTTAAGCAACACGCCATGATTCAATATGTTTTAAGAGCGAATATTCAAATGAAACCTAAGTGAAACTCTTCTTCTTGATCATAACTGATGGAAAGTGTCATACAAACATATGCTTGAGATGATTATTAAGATAGGCAAATATCAACCAATATATTTCGGATGCAATTATATAAACAGTATTACGAGTGTCATCAATAGCAGAACATCTATATTTTCACTTAAATAATTTCGTTTTTTACATCAATATTCATATCGGTAATGAATTTAATTAATGTTTCTTTATGCATTCAACTTCATTGAGTGTATTACATAGAAGTTATATCAACCTCAAGACATGCACAATCATAACTCAAAGTCTGTACTAAAAGACTAAATTTATTAGAAACCAAACGGGAAAAATATCGCGAATGTCACAAACAATGTGTACATGCGAATAATATAAAGCTGAATACACATCAATGCAATTATGTTTGGAAATGTTCTGAGTAATAACGGTTCATACTGTTACTTATTCAAAAGTTAGAGAAATCAGTTAATGATCATTTCGGTACATGTTTTTCCAAAGAATACCCGTAAATGTCAGTATTCGCTGTTAGCGGATAATATTGAGAACACTACATACATAGTTTTTACATGTAGATTGTTGTATTAAACGCTTTTAGCAATGTCATTTTGTTCTGTGTTGATGTTCCTTAGCGAGTTGTTGGTGCTAGAATTGCTTTGTTGAGGGTTATTAAGAATTGTTACGCATAAGAATTATCCGTGTTATTACAAATATTATTATCTTTGAAGTTAATCACACAGGCAACCTAAATGATCTCATTGTTATGAGATTTGTTTCATGACAATACATTGAGTAAGTTATACAATAAATAAATTAACAATACAGTTTAATATTTCATCGTCATAACACATTCAGCCACGGCTTATTACAATAATTACAACATTAGTTTTCTCTTTATATCAAGGATATCAGTTATACATTGTTCATATATATATATCACCAACTATAAAACTCTGTAGCAAATCAACGAAAAAGCAAATATATAACAGTCTTATCAGCGTTTTTTTAATAAATGAATTTGCATAAAGAAAAATACATTGAAATAGCACTCTCGTGCCCTTTAGTTCACTATTTCCATATATCACTGTCTATTAGGACTATTCAGCTTGAAACTTAATTAGATCATGTAAGATTGAATAATCAATCGGGTAGATGCTAAATATATGTGGTAATGATGATAATAATAAGCTATTATCAATGGAAATTATTTTTTATACAATAAAAAACAGAAATCGGAGTTCCAAGGTTCAAACATTTAAGTATGTCGACAAGGTAAATAAGATAAAAAGAATAAATGAATACACACTTTTCAGATCCTCATATTCTAAATGTTATACTCTACTTTCTACAGCATGCACTTTTCATTCAAATGATATTTTTACTCACATCCATAAAACACACCACACTTTACTAAATGACTGAGTGTTTAGACGTGTTTTTTATGACGCGTGTGAAAGCTAAATAAAAAAATACATTCCAAGTTCAGTTTTAGGCTTCTATCAATCACTATCAATCACTATAGAAAAGTATATATATATACAAAGCAATAAAATCACTATAACATATCAACATTGGTTTTCATTTGTCATATTCTGTAAATTGTATCGGTTATACATAAATAATATTGCATCATAATCAAAATCATAATAAATACTATTCAAATTAGTACCATTTGTGAAACAAATGTAACAAACAGAATATGTTTTGTTTATTCACGAATAACTCGTAGGTTGAATGTGTTTATGCTTTAAACTATGAACTCGTTAAAATGTCAGGAAGCACTTAACTCAAATGCTTACTATTATTCAGCTATGTGATAGAATTGCATTTACCTTTTATGTACACGGTTTTATAAACAATTAAATCGAAAATGCTTTTATTGCTACTTGTAAGCTTTATGTAAAAACAGCATTTCCGGTAGTCAAGGGGTAATCGTGTAGATCAATCAAATCTCATTTTGACAAAAAATCCCGATTTTTGTTCGATTGACGTTCGAGTTGTTTGAATTCTCGTTATATTATATAAGAAGTATTATTTAAAAACATATTCTTGAATATTCCGTCTTTGCGTATTGCAGAGTTATCTTCTCTTGGGAGCAGGTATTGATTGTTACATCATTGATTTGTGTGAGAAAATTACGTCGTTTTCTCAAACATTGATGACGTTACTCTCACAAACAAGTTACGTAACAATACCCCTCCGAACTATGTGTACTGTGTCTGCAAATAAAGCAATATATGGTACTATTGCTGAATTGTCGCTTTTTAATAAACACAACAGTTCCGCATGTATTATAATTATAGGAATGTTTTCTAATGTCATTGCTTTAAATTTGAAATCCCGCTAGTCACATTTCGAGAGAAAATATACTGGATAATTACTTTCGCGGTAATTCATTTTACTTTAAGCAAAGCGAAATAAATATGTAACAAACACGTGCAAATTGACGGTAAGTCATACACACGCACATTTATACATATATTAATTGGTATACAGTCATTACCAATTACATACCACACAAAAGCTTTCCACATGTGTACAATAATAGATAAATGAGGTTCGTCCTATTATAAACACTGCAAATGTCGGACACACACATATACACTTGACTATATGAAGTTACTATAATTGAACATTAATATTTAAAACCCTGTAGTATTTTAACATACATCAGAGTGATGTATCATAATTTATTTTTTTGCAAACATTAGGTGTCATGTCAACTTTTTATGTCACAAATTCTACTCTTCTACAGTTTTCTCCACGAGGTCACAAACCATCTTTAGTTCATGTTAGGACCGGATGTGACGTCACCTTGCATTCACATATGTCACCACAGGAACGTAATGCATCCTGAAGCAAATTTATATATCGTTCATGAAAAATCACCAGAACAGATCACGCATGTATACCGTTTCTTTTGCAAATATGTATTGTTTTCATGTTGCTTCAAAAGATAAATTTCAATGTCTTCGAAATCTAAATGAATTTTAGAGTGATATTCGGTATCAGAACTAATCCTCATGTATTATAAAACAAATTGTGGAGAATATATAGTTCCTGCAAAGTTTATAATGTTTGATAAACAACAGCTGTATAAAAATTGGTATACATTCTTTCATTATCTTATGTGATCATAGAAATCGTAAAAAGAAATATCAAAATGACGTCGAAAAAGTAAGAAAACATACTTCAACCTTTGTAATTTTTGCTTTGTGTTATTTTTTGTTTATCTTAATATCAACATATTTCACAATGGGATCATGTTTATGACTCAATTTCATAAAATAAATCTTCAGTAAATAACGCTACAAAAACGGAACGGTTCATATTGCGTTTACGTTATCCCCTCGCGTAAATTACCATATTTACGGTATGTAGTTATTTACAACGTTGCAAGTTTGCGAGAGTGTAGGAACATTAAGCGGAGCTATTTATAACAGTAACATGGGTTTACACTTATTTATACATGGTATCCTTTCACTGGGTACACGTTTTGTCCTAAATACACTAACGTCACGTGTTACCGATACACAATCCGTAAACTATTACTAACTTCGGTGTAAAAAATAGATATTTAGCGGTTATCAAACCCTTCGATCTGTGTTATATGACGATTGATAAGTCATGTTAAAATCGGTTGAACATTTCTTCTGCAATTCAAACTTTGAGAAATAATTAAGGATAGGCATAAAATATTGAAAATGTTTTAATGAAATAATAAAATTGGAAACAAATGGTAATAGCGCCTTATCTTTTTATAGAGAAAACTCCATCATGGGTTTTAAAAGTATGGAATTTTCATAGGAAAGACGGCAAAAATAATAATGTTATTGAAGCTTGTACATGTATAAGGCCTTATGAAATTACAGAAAAAAATGGAAATTCAGATACAATTATGACAAAGATATTGAGAGTGTTAAATAACACAAATCGACAAATTAACTGTCTATTTGGAAACATCGTTCTTAAGGGAGGTCATTTAGAAATTGAATGTTCAAGATTTCTAATAAAAAACAGCTTATATCTAAATAAATAATAAAATGTACAGAAAAAAGAATCAATGGACTTTACATGAGATATATCTCAAACTATATTCTAATTCAGAATCAGGTTTGCCAAAGATATAGGGAGTAATGTACTGTGTATTTAACACAAAGTGACACAAACAGCGTTCTTTTAGAAACATGGATCTTAAAATAGATCTTAAAATGATTAATTATCAAAGCCTTTTTACAAAAACAGCAAACTGTTACTCCATATATATCTTGCTTGTTCCATATCGGTGCAATCAATGGTTGACAAACCACATAACTTCTCATTTGTCAGCAAGGATTTTTTCAGCGGATAACCATAATGGGGAACTAATGTGGTAAGTCATTAATGAGACACTCTGTCCTAGTTTTTACAGACAGGACGAGACGTAGAGGTAGTTCTAGTGTGTTAGGGTGAACTTTAGTCGAACATGTTATATACATGAATCATGTTTCACGGGACCGGAGACATTCAGTGTTAACACTAATGAGAAAGTGATTATTTGTGTACCGGGATGGATCATAAGGTATGTCTGACTGACAGGTAACACGTCACACAGGCAAGTGTCAGTACGCCAGTGGGATTTATTGTTTGATGGTAAAGCTCGCTAGCATTTCCGGAAATGGTGGCATTGGCAATGACAAATATTATGTCAAACATCGTTCTACATCAAACTTACATCTATTATATTTACTGTGAAATAATGTGTGTGGTGTTGTAATATTGTTTTGTAAATTTAAACGTCCCAAATAAGGCTTAGCGTTTATTATAATTGAAACCTATTTGCCAGAAATTCTTTAAAACAAACGCAATATTTAAGTTGCGCGAAAGGAGTGTATGTACAGTTATGATAGTTTTGTTAAGGGAGGCGTCATATAATTAAAATAGAAACAAAATACACGTCAATGTCAACACACACGAACATTATAAAAATCAACTTAAAGAAATTTCACGTGATTGACAAATCTGGTCATTTAGATATTTTTCAAGCATTCAATATTTTACTGATCACTTACAGTAACAGTAGAATTATGATGATGTTATAAGTAATATAAATAGTAGTTTTAGGGAAATCGCGATTTTTTTATTTTTTTTAATTTATTTATATGTTCAAGGAAAACGATTACACCTGCGTTTTATTTGTATGCTACTTGTTAACATATATATTGTTGTTATCTGTTTCAATATCTACACCGATATAATTGCATGACCTGAATTATAACGTATACTTAAATTAGAGGATTTTTAAATCAGCCTGACAAGTTTAATACAAAAGATTGAGTTAATAAAATACCAAATATTTGCATATTATATTTCTCTGAACGCTCTTAACAAACTGTGAAAAAATTAAAGAAGGTTTGAAAGTCTTATACTGTTTGACTCGAGCATAAGTCAAGCATCCCTTACACGATAGGAAAGTAAAAAATCGGTTTATAAATAGTTGCAGGATATTTATTAATTGGCGATTCGATTCTTACCTCGTGATAAACTGCTTCCTCATCCCGAACGGAGTCTGCTGTCGGACTTGGCGACTTTTTGGTCTCGGGTGCCATGTGATAATGCTATGATCGGATATAAATAAAACAATTATATAACTGAAACTCAAAATACAATGAATCAAAATTCTGTTATCGGATATAGATTTAATTAATGCTATATACAAAACGTGATAATAACCCATATCATATGTATTAAAGTATTTATGATCCGATATAAATAGAACAAATGTATAAAACAATAGGTTGAAATAAACTTGATAGACATGTATCAAAAAGCTGTAAACGTTTTCAAAGAAATCTGATTATCAACCTCCCTTGGGGTATTCATGTACTCATTGACTTATCCTTATAGAACGAATTGTTAAATTAAATATTATGTTGATGATTTCGTTCGATAGTTTTAATAGAACATCATTTTCAAAATATAACCACAACACATATATGATGACTGTATATGAAATTTAAGCGTTAAACTCGCTGATGAATGAAGTGGGGAATTTGAGGAAAGCATGCATCAGGTCAATGAAATTGTCGATAGTTGAATTCTCTTGACGGTCTTTTGAAGTATAGGAAATATCCTATATAACTAAAATGTTTTGTGACGCCAAGACTATCAGATTATTATCATGTTGTGAACAACGAATAATAAATCACATCCCCATCCCCACCCTACACCCTCAATTCAAACAAAAAATAAAATAACCTATCTAAACGGGTGTTTGGTAAAATAGTATCTGTTATTTAAAAACAAAAATAACCTGATCGTCATGGGTTCACTAACGCATCATTTTTGAAATACTAAAAATATGCATTTTCTTGACAGGCTATTTTACGTGATTGCTCGAATAACATTGAACATAATTAATTTTGCTTCAACTTCTTGATGTAATCGCGAAACATACCAAAATCTGTTTAACTCCAAAGTAATGAAACAGCGTTATTTGCTATACGATTTACTCGAGTCTTGAGGACACATTGGGAACAACATTTAGGTGTGAGAACTTCAGTCTCAAACATGCATCACAAACCACAGAATACAATAAAGAAAGATGGTAAATTTTGTGATTTTGTCGTTATGTGTTGACGCTGTGGTATAATTTGTCGTTATGTGTTGACGCTGTGGTATAATTTGTCGTTACGTGTTGACGCTCTGGTATAATTTGTTGTTATGTGTTTACGCTGTGGTATATTTTGTTGTTATGTGTTGACGCTGCGGTATATTTTGTCGTTATGTGTTGACGCTGTGGTATATTTTGTCGTTTTGTGTTGACGCTGTGGTATAATTTGTCGTTTTGTGTTGACGCTGTGGTATAATTTGTCGTTTTGTGTTGACGCTGTGGTATAATTTGTCGTTTTGTGTTGACGCTGTGGTATAATTTGTCGTTATGTGTTGACGCTCTGGTTTAATTTGTTGTTATGTGTTGACGCTGTGGGATATTTTGTTGTTATGTGTTGACGCTGTGGTATAATTTGTCGTTTTGTGTTGACGCTGTGGTATATTTTGTCGTTACGTGTTGACGCTCTGGTATAATTTGTTGTTATGTGTTTACGCTGTGGTATATTTTGTCGTTATGTGTTGACGTTGTGGTATATTTTGTCGTTATGTGTAGTTGCTGTGGTATATTTTGTTGTTATGTGTTGACGCTGTGGTATATTTTGTCGTGATGTGTAGACGCTGTGGTATATTTTGTCGTTATGTGTAGTTGCTGTGGTATATTTTGATGTTATGTGTTGACGCTGTGGGTTTTTTTTGTCTAAATGTTTCGACATTTAAGCATGATATTACCTTGAGTGCTGTAGAATGGTATATTTTGTCCTGCAAGCTGATAATGTAGTATATTTTGTTATAATATGTTGACGCTTTGGCATATTTTTCGCTCGTGTGTTGACTCTGTGGTACAATTTGTCGTGTATGTTGACCTAGGGTCATTGTTTTAGGAATGTGTTGAATCTGTGATATATTCAGTCCTTGAATTATCGTTTGTGTTCGCTGTCGTATAATAAGTCCTTGTGTGTTGATAATGCGGATTTAATTGTTATTGTGTTCTGACGCTGTGGTATACATTTTTATTGTTGATGATCAGCTATGATTGTCTTTGCTACCACTGTCCTACAGTGTGTCATTATGTTGACGCTGTGGTATTATTTGTATTTGTGTTTCAGTTTAAATTGTCCTTGTATGTTGAAGCGGTTATACATGATTGTCTTGGTCAGTAGATCTAACAAGCACTCAGTTTGCATAGTTATCGACAATGCAAACTACTCTTTTGAATTATATATATATATATATATATATATATATATATGCAGTATATACTGACACTTGAATATGATATATTAGTTTTTACACTTATAATGACGCTCAGTAATTCAATAAACCTCCATTTATATAAATCAAAAACATTCATTTTATTAAACAATCGATCAATCTCGAGTGCACCGAATAGTTTATTTGCATTCATTATTATATTAACAACAACCTTATGATGTATAACATCTGTTTGTATTATTACACTAATAATTAAGTGAATGCACATTTTGCATACTTTATGTAACTCGTGATCCCACTAGGATGCACTTTTATGCTATTTTACATATAACTAACCTGATTTTACACATTCTGTGTCGTTTAGTATAAGGTTACATTTGTTTTGCAATTATTTTACAAAATATCCTATAATGTCAACAACGCACGAAGATCAAACTTGAACTCGAAATTAAAACGACATTAAAACGAAAGGACAACATCAGAAACTGAAAAGACATCGAAACATTACACATGGTACTTGGAAACCTCACAAAACCGGAAGTTGGACTATGGGATTTAAATTGTGTCCGTCAAATATAATCCCTGAAAAAAACCTCCAATCGTCTCTAAATAATACAATTGATTTTATTCACCTACACACTAGCGCGTAGCCGTTAACTCACATTTTGCACGTGCTGTGTCTGGTGGAGAGGATAACGGCGTTCTCCTGATATGTGACGTCATAGACAGGACATATGTTGCTCTTCTTGCCTATTGTGGTGATATTGACCGCTGGGGAGGGGAGAGAGTGGGTGGTTAGAGGGAGCATGCATGCAGAGTTATAGGATAAGTATTAATAGGTGAAGTTATTAAACTTATGCAACGCTTGTGGTTGGTGCCTGCTTTGCGTGCGCTGGTCGCATTAGCCTTGCGATTTCAAAAGCAAGAAAACTCTCATTATGTTCATTTTCAGAAGCAACATAAATAAATTGAAATGCAGATCGCAATTGCTAGTAAATACATGAAAAGGCAAAAGCGCATTTAAATTTTGTGTTGCTCCCATAAGGAAAGTCTCCTAATTAAAGCCAAATAGGAGAAATGTATTAACAATTGTGCTGTGGATAAAAGGCTATTTAAAAGTGATTGATATATTACCTACCTTATTAAACTGTAAACCACTCATAATGCGTTATCAGTTTCCGAGATTTGATCGAGCATTTAATTAATTATTTTTTTCAAAAGCATATGGAAGGAATCAATCATGAATTGAATTTCCATTCAATTTTTATTAATGACTTTTTCAAAAACAAATTCACAATAATAGATATTCGGGGAAGTTAAGTGATTTACAGTTTTATGCTTAAATATGTCTGTCACTTTATGAATGAATTTGTGGGCAATGTTCAGCAAAATCAATAAAAATCATGCAATGTACGTTTCCACACCATATTTTAGACGACACACATATTACTCACAGTTCCAATGTCCCTCCTTCTCCAAGACCAGCTCTCTGGCCTCGTTCCTCGCCGCTACCTTCCAGGCCCCTTCTCCACCAGCAGCACTTCTCCAGACACCGCCGCCTCCTTGTCTCCTCCTTTGTGCCGTTAATACTGTTTGAAACTGTCTTTGAACTACTGGCGCGGTCTGTTGTCTTTCTGTGGTGCCCGATACATTCTGTCGACCTCCTTTATCTCTTGAAGCTGTGTAGTTCCCGTTTTGTCCTCCTGCTGCTGAGCCTGGAATATTTGATTGTGTGCTTGGTTTGGTGTTAACACCCTTCTGCCATGGGTCGGGGTTATATTCCGACCATGACTTTGGTGTTACTGATTCAGGTGTCGGATTAACCGGGGCTATAGTACGGCCATTTTTAATATTGATCACATTTTTACTGGATCCTTGACCCGCATTTACATTCTTTAGTTGGCCAAGCTCCACATTTTCCACCGGTCTTGGCTCTCCATTAACACGTTTAACTGTCATGCTTAGCTCGCCGAAATTCACTGCATCATCATTTCCTGCTGCAGGGAATCCTGGGTAAGGTGGCTTATTTTTTGTACTCTCTAACCTTGTAGTTAATATGGAATTAGCAGCCGATGGTTTCGATAATCCAGGGTTCTTGCTGTTTATGATGCCGTGTAGATTGGCATTACTGTTGAGAAGAGCCTCGGCGTCAACACCGTCGACAATGCTTCCATGACTTGAAGCCATATCTAACGTTTTAGGACGATTACCTAATACTGCCGTTGACGACATTTTAGCTATCACATCGTTCTGTGGAACCCCTTGCTGTTGGTGACCGGTACCTGCTCGTTTGTTCGCCCGTGCTATGTCTCTGAGAAGGTTAATAATCTGAGGGTTATCTGATGATAATGTGTCATCAATGTTCGTGATAAGACTATTGTGTTCCTGTGTACCAGAAACGCCAAAGCTATTCGCCGTCGTCATTTCGATGAATTGTTTAATTACTGTAGCCGGGTGTTGTTTATTAATTAAATTCTTAATCTGTTTGAGATGTTCATTATTATTTTTTACTGGTTCTTGTTTAACAGGTGGTTGACGTCTGTTTTGCTGATTCAATGGGCGTCTGTTGTTCTTTGTAGGTCGGACAATGGCGGGACCAGTATGAGATGTTTTTGAATTTGGATTAATGACTGAGAACGTGCTGGTCTCTATGTCTCGATAAGTTGGCTTATCCGGGTTGGCGTGAAAGCGGTCTGGGGTATTTATCCTATTGGTGTTCCTGCTGCCCTTAGGTTTATGTCCCTGTGGTACTGTGGCCGGTTTTGGTTTGTAGACAAAGTCCCCACGTTGAGGGGTGTTCCCCCAATCATTGACTTGCAACTTAGGCACACTAGCATCAGAAACGTGGAGTTTCAATGCAACTGTCACCTGACCGGTATCGGGTCTCTTACTGACTTTGGTACCGCCTACCATAGGTTTCTCTGTGACAAAATCTCCACTGAATGGACTGATGATGTCTCCTCCCCAGGATGGATTTTTAGAGATATCATTAGGGTACATGTGTTTACCACTGTCAATAGGTTTTGATGGTTGTACACTCTTGTTGATGTCGTTGACAACTGGTTGATCCCTTTGGTTTGGAATAGAGCCCGATGGTTTCTCATTTGGAATGTTGTCACGATTAACCGGATGTCTACCTGCTGAGTCTGATGGCGGGTTTGTCCATGCTGGTGGATTTTTACCTCTACGTGTAGGCATCTGACCAGAAAATTTCGGGTCAATAATATTCAGTGTTGGCGACACAGGAACACCTCTCCATGTTGATTGTGTAGAAGTGAGTATATCATTTTCCGGTTTCTTCATTACATGTTTTGGCTGCCTCGGCTGGTTATTAGGCTTATTTAAGTTTTTACCGTTCCATGGTTTCCTTTGAAAGTCCCGCCCTCCCAAAGGCTTACGATGATGTTGGACCGGTCCCGGTACGTTACTAATTCGACCACTATTCCATGGTTGATTTTTAGGTTTTGTATTCGTTTTTTGGATTGGTTGCCTAGGCGTCTTGTCCTGCCAAACTGGTGGATCGATCCAGCCGTCTTGAGGTAACTGTCGTACATTGTTTGGAGAACCACCTGTCCACGATGGTCTCTGCGCCGTTTGTTCCGGCTTTCTTCCACTTGGTTGTGCTGGTCGTATCGGTTGTTGCCTCCATCTGGTAGGTGTCGATGGCTTGTTACGTGTAGCAGGGAAAGAAGAAGACTTCACTGGTGGTAATCTCTGCCCGTTAGGAGAGGTTGGTTTGGCTATTTGGTTATGACGATTAGGGAACATGGGTCTCACGGACGCAGGATGACGACCGCTTTGGAACGCTGGTCTAGCATGAGAAGGAATACGGTCTGATGGTCGTACTAATGGCTCCTGTTTTGGCTGTTGATTATTATTCGCCGGATTAGGTTTCATTGGTTGACTAGGTAGATTCATTTGTGTATTAGACACTGTATCCAACCATGAACCCACCGCCGCATTCTCTGATGGTTTCTGATTTGGATTCTGATCGGGCCCTACCCAGGTATCTGTAAGTCCTTGTCGACCTGGACTGTTTCCATTCCCTGACAATGTCTGCCTGTTATTTACCGGTTCAGCAATCCTGCCTTGTTTTGGAGTCGGCTGTCTCTTGTTAGGGTTAACGTCTACCGATGATTGCCGAGGTTGAATTCCGTTTCCTGGACTACTTCCATCCACTGAGCTAGCATATGCACTCCATTCATTTCTTTTTACAGCATTATTTGCCTTTCGTGGATAAGGCATCTGGCCTATATTTACCCATCTACCACGGGAGTTGGGACCTGGTGCTCTGCCACCCGGTCCTGTCCGAATGGGTTTACCTCCGTTAGGGTTCATCCCACTCTCCCACGTATTATAATTTTCTTTGTTTGCCTTTGGAGCAGACGTTGTTGGCCTGCTTCCTTCCATTTCATATTCCTCTGTAGTACTCCGTTGAAAGGTAACTCGTCCACTGGTGACTGAACCACCCGGAGCGCTTGTTGTGACATCTTCTGCTTCATATTCCTGTTGTGAAGGTGTTGTCTTCTTGTTTGAGGTCACAGCTGGAGTTGTTCTATCTTCTGGTTCAATAGCTTCATAAGCAAAGCCATTTGATGCTGGAGATTGATTACCAGCGTGGGGCATTCTATCCTCAGCTTCGTTTTGACCTTGACCCTGTGAGCCACTTTGCCCGTGACCTCCGTTAGAGTTATTTATTGGTGTCACGTCTTCACGCTCGTATTCTTCTCCTAGATTGTTCCTTTCTTGTTGACGCTGATAATCCGCCCAGTTACGAAATCTATGCTGACCTGACCGACCTTGACCTCCGCGTTGACCCTGTTGACTTTGCTGCCTTCCCTGGCCTGCTCGGCCTTGCTGACCAGGATGAGCTTGCGGGCTACGCTTATCGTAGGTAACACCTTGATTACTCTGCATTTCCTGTGCATTATACTGTGATCCCTCTCCATTTCCTCCATTTCTGTGCCACGCGGAATGCTCTGATCCTGACTGTCGATTTTGTGAGTTATCATTGAAGTTCCAATTATCGCCGGTTTGAGTTTCACTTTCAGTTCCGGTTTCACCATTGTAAACATGTTCCTCGCCTTCATTATTGTATCCTTCTCCTCCGCCTTGTTGATTGTCCAATCCATCATTATTATTGTTTTGTCTATTTTCTAGAAATCTACTGTATATAGTATCACCATTCCCGACAGATATTTCTTCGCTGCTGCTGCTGCTGCTGTCACTTGGCTCACTGCTGTCATCGGCAGACTGGATAAAACGTCCATAGCGCCTTCCTATTGCCATTCGTCCTGGTGTCTGGTGTTGTTTTGGGATAGCTATACCACCAGATTTATCGCGATTCTGACTTAGGTCAAACTTATCCAGTTCTCCCATATTTGACACGAGCCAGTCCAAGTCACCACCTTTCCCGAGTCCAAATCCCCACTGGCAGTCGACAGAGGCGAAACCTGCAACGACAGCAGATAGGTAAAACTTGACATATATAACGACACCTTTCGCAAAATACTACTACTACTACTAATTTGAGGTTCTTATATACCGCTTAAGCACAGCCTAGGTCGTAGGTCGTCTCAAAGCAGTTCACAAGTTATTATCCGTTGTTATAGGGCCTTTGCAACCGCCTAATATATTTCTCAACTCCCTGAGAAGCATACAGCCGGTGCGGCCATTTCGGCGCTCACAGCTAGCATTCAACAATTCTAGCACTGTCCAACCACGTACTCATATACAACTGAGTAGACTGGAACAATTGGAGTAAAATATCTTGCTCAAAGATACACCACAGAGCCGTGACGTGACTCACACCCGCAACCCTTCGGTCACGAACCCGGCACCCTACCACCAGGCTACCTCGCCTCCGGAAGATATATTAGAACTCCTAACGACAGTATGACCCAATATGGGCACTTGAACCTACCAAACTAACACACGTTGTATACGTGTTATTTGATTTTAAAAAAAAGCAAAAAGGCATAACGGCATACAGGCAAAGACATTATTTTAATTATTTGGATGTATATTCTATATTTGCCTTTATAAATTCACCCAAGACAAACTTTCTTAACTTGCCTGGTTATTTTTGTTGAAAACATATCATCAATATTTTCCGATAGATATTGCCATATATTTTCACCTACATGCAAACTAGAATATATAATGTGCCTAACGTTTTGGATCTCTCAGTCTAACTTGACCGGCAATAAGTAGTTCAGTGACATTTTTACTTTTTTTATGCACGTTTGAACAGAAAATCACAGATTTAATTATTCTTTACTAGTAAAACATAACAGACAATTTCAAAAATATTCAATTTTTTTTAGGGTTGCGTTCGGATTAGTACAATGTAAGGAAAACTAACATAAACGATTTATTCATACATATTCCCCTACATATAAAAGAGGGAAACATGTATCCATAACTTATTTATTTTGCGACAGAAGGGTAAATGAAATTAAATTGTGATAACAAAAATGAATGCGAGACAAATACGTACATGGTAAAGAAGTCAAAGAAAATTGAAAAAGGAAGGAAGGGTATAAATCTCTATAAAAAGATGTACGTTGGAGGTAATATGGCAAAAAGTCTCCGTTTAAGGAGTAATCACAACTCGGACGGGAGAGCACTCTAAAGGGAAAGCACTCTGCATTCAAACCTAACAAACTTTTTCGCATAGAAACAACTTTATTGTTATTTATATTTTTGCTTAAATAATGATTTCAGTTCTATTCCAAAACTTTGATAATGCAAGAAGCTATTTTATAAAGGTAATGCTGGGATAGTTGTTTGCAGGAATGCATAGACAACCAACTTACAACATACACAATGTTTGTCAACGTCTGGAAGATCTAGATCGAAACATGACACAAGACAATGACATTCATTGTCGTAATGTTTATTAAATGAGGAAATCAAATATATCCTTAACGGATGTTTAACTTTGTATTTATAGACTAATGATCAGCAAATTCCATATTTCTTAATCATATCTGAGGTACAATCGAACAGATATAAATATAAAATTTATGATATTGTATCAATCAAAAGTCAAGGAAGAAACCATAACATTATGCACTAGAATTATACACATGATCAGAATAGATTTTATATCAGTTATTAACAATTAACGTTAGGAAACACCTGCTCGCTTAATTAATCAATGACTAAATATTCATTAGTGAAGATGAGTGATCCAAATATAAACATTATCTTGACACTGGAATTTTAAACGGGATTGTTAAATATTATTTTAACAGAGAAAGTTGAATATAAACTTAAACATGTATACCACAAAAGGAAAAAGACAGCAAGTGGTTCATGAATTTTATCATATAGCAAATAACATTTGAGTTATTTCAACCAAATTATGTAGTGATAAACTGCCTTATATTTGGGTAGTCTTTCTAAAAGAGATACTTTTTCAATACAGACAAATGATAGTTATATACAGATGATATTTCACATAAAAACTAATCTGTTTATACAATGGTCTTTTTAGACACGTCACCCCTTGTGATATTTATACACAGAAAACGATACAGATAAGAAAAATTAATATAAACGTTGTAGGTGAGTTTTTTTTTACAGAATAAAGAATGTATGAACATATATAGAGGATCTTAAATGAGTTTTCATTTCATATGAGATTTTATGAAACGAGTCTTAGAAGTTATGTGTTGTGTTACACCTTTATGTGTTGTGTTACACCTTTATGTGTTGTGTTACACCTTTCGAGATACAAACAGTTGGACTGTGTTGGTAGATGTATTAGTCCCCGATGTTTTGCCGTGACCTTGCCGTGACCTTGCCGTGACATTGATATCAAGGATATTCCTTGTGTCGGGGTTAACAATGAACATATTTTTGTTATTACTGATTTGAAGTTAACAAGTGCTCTGTACATTGACGACAAGTATTAAAGAGTTTGTCTGCGAATTCCTCTTTATTGTATTGATTAATGTATATGCTAATTGTATTCATTGTATTAGATTGTATATATATGTACTGTAAAGCGCTTGAGAGTGGCTTATGTTAGCTAGATAGGACGCTCTATCAAAATGCTGTATATTTATCTCCCTTTTAACTTCAACAGTAGATCTTTAAGACCAATTTGGATTTTTACCTTTTTGGCCCCTAGCATCACCTACGGAGGAAACGGCTGTATAGTACAGTTATAATTAACTATTTATTTGTATTCACCTTCAATTAACATATGTTTGGGTGCATTCACAGTTTGTTATCTCTCGCCCATCTTATACATGTACTAATAGCCAGCGTTTGTACTTAAAGGAAATGTTATAGTTATAAAAAAAATCCGGACGTAATAATTTGGCAAAAGTACATATTATCATCATATGTATGCGACTGTATAGCTTGTAATAAACTGTGCTGTTTAGTAATTGAAATTTCTCTTGTATATTGACACGGAAACGTCAATAGAAACCAATCCATTCATAGGTATATTTCAAGTGTCATACACTACGTGAACTATTTCTGTTTTTATTATCTCGTGGTTTTTACTTTAACGTTTCATTATTATATCTCTCTATGCAATCGCGTAGTCATCAATAAAAACTGGAACGTTTCATGTTGATCAGGGATTGAGTTGTGAATGAATCATGTGACCTGTAAAACGGACACTTCAGTGACCTAGTCGTGACGTCATAGCCTTCGAAATGAAATGGACACCTTCTGTTGACAAGGTCACAATGACATGGCATAAAAACTGCCCTTCATTTCCGTTATGTTTTATTATGATACTGTGTATGTATTCTGGTGATCGATTAAAAAAATAAACAAAACAAGGAGTTTCTTTTTTTCACAATTTGTGATTCACAAAACTTATTCATATATGTCATTCATATAAAGTATTTTTTTGCCATATTTTCTTCGATAGTAGAAACTGACTTATGATCGTTTCGTTTAACTCCATGAAACCTATAACGAAATCGTTGAATTGCTGCAGACTGCAGACACAAAATGGGCATCACTCCTACACTACAAAGGATAAAGGTGAATTTCTTGTGTTTTGGTTTCTGAAAGTGACACAATAGATAACTTACAATCACACTGACGTGTTTTGAGTTATTTTCACATTTAGAGGATCTGTCATTCGTTTCCCTTAATATTAGATTTATGATACAAGTTTTGGATTGTTCATGTTTGTGAGCCTCTGGCGAGCAAATATGAAAAATTCAAAACTTGTAATCATCAATCTAATATGAAGGGAAACGAATGAAAGATTCTTTTAATCATATAATACAAAATAAACTGAACGTATATTTATGATCTGAAACGAATATGTTGCACTTGGCCGCCTCTGAAACGATGAAAATTGCGTCTGCTTCACAATGACCTGACGTCACATTGGTTGTTCTGTTTCGATTGTGATGTCATTTACGGAGTGATATTACACGCGTTACATAAACGCAATTCCTGTGATGACTTTATGACACTGCATAATACGGTTTTCATATGATAAAACGTGTTATGCACAATATGATATACAGAAAGAAAGACAGCAAATTACTGATAAACAATCAATGTTTTTGAGAAAACATGTTTGTTTTAGTCAGCGATGTTTTAAATCAATAGTGAAGGACTTCAAATTAAGATATCGAAATAATAAATTCAGGACGGGGTGATTAATTTATGATAGAGTTGAATTATACGAAGTTTTGTATGTATTGAGAACTCGATAAAAATACAAGTGTACAATTAAATGGTGTTGTAAGAGTTTAGCGGGGTAATTCTGACGCGAATTTAACATCAACTTCTACTTGAAGTTACTTGGTTTAATAATTGATAAGATGTTAATTTAATACATTTGATTAGAAATTTTACAAATAGCGACAATATGTTTGCAAACAAAAGAACGTTATGACTTGTAGGGTTCCATAAACTACTAACATTTCAACCGTGGTACATATCATGATTGCATATTTAAAATTGCTACCTTTACTCATAGGGTAATGTGTATCACAATGTTCTCGAAAACTGCAACACAGAGGAAATTATGTTTCAGAATGTCTCACAAACCTCGATCACGTGACAGAAACATTCC